CCCAAACAGGTGAGGCAAGAGACATGGCTCCCGACGCTGAAATACTCCCCCGGTCCAGGAGCCGCCATCTTCTCCGCCAGGAAACCGGACCGCTTGCTTCACGTAAGGCAACGTGATGTCGTAGGAGGACGAAATCTGGGCGTGCCGTCCTACGTTAGCATGACGGTCATGGAGGGAGGCGGGGAATGGGGGTGCGGGGAGGGGGGGGGGGGGGGTTAATGCAAAATATCTTTATCCAGCTTTCACAAAAGAAAACAATAGGAAAAAGAAAGAAGATTCAATACTCTTCCGATTTCAGCAGAAATAAAAATATTTAGACTTGCAACATAACATTGTACTTATTGAGCTGTTGAGACATGCGTGTCAAAAGTTAAGCTAAAACAGTGCAATAACAACGTTTCAGAGATTTACTTAAAAAGTCATTTTGAAAAACATGATTTAAAGCTTTTAAAAAGAATAAAACGCTGACACGCACCAATCAGCAGTCATGTCTGTAACGCGTTACTTTGTAACCATTACTGACATGACTGTTCGGTTTTTCAGTAAAACAAAACAAAAAACAAAACACTTTTTTTCAGTAACGAGTAATCTAACGCGTTACTATTTCAAATCAAGTAATCACATTTAAGTGATTTAAAAAAAAGAATAAGATTCTTTTTAAGTGATTTAAGTAATCACTTAAATCACATTTAAGTGATTACTGAGCGTTACTATTTTCTTTTGTAACGTAATTTTATTTTTGGTATTCTGATCATCTGTGCTACCCATTCGTCCGTCCTACCTTGTGGCAATGCGCATGCGCACATCGATGCGACGTCACATACTGCTTACTCAACAGATTCAGGGCTCTTTGCGCGTACGGCGTTGACCTCACATGCGCATAAGCAATGTGGTTTTCTTAGTTCAGCTTCAAGTTTCCGTGACAACTAGAAAAGACAAAGTCGTATTTCAGACGCAAATAAAGTAATACTATGAACATTATTGTCTTCCTAATATAAAGGGCTTTCAAGTTTTCATGGATTTCCAAGCAATCCTGAATCAAGAAGACGGTGGCTTGTAAATATTCCTCGCTACATGTTAAAGCTAACGCTGCACAGCAGAGTTTGCAGCCTTCAGTTCGCTTCGGATCAGCTTCTTGAGCCTAAAGAAGAAGCTGAAATAAAGGAGCCGTCCCTGTGCCATTTCCACGGAATCACTTCTGTATTCAGCCTGAAAGAGCAGGTGTATGGGGGCGAGTGAGTAGACCAGCGCCAGACAGCAGAGCACCTGATCCACCCGTACACACTGCTGTAAACACAGTCCTATTTGAGCTCTTCACAACAAGCATGCAAAGGTAACACAACGAAATAACACGGAGACCTTACGGAACACGGCCATATTTTTCTAAAAGCAAACACTTTCAACCTGAAAGTTTTTGATATCAATGCTGATATCAATGCTGCCCTACTTTTAAGCGATGGGGCTTGTGCTTCCTCGTTGGTCTCCGTTTGACACTAACGACAATAAACACACATAATACACTTGAAAATAAGTCCAAAAATAAGGTAAAAACCATTGTCCGTTAGAATGAATTCAAATGTTTAGATACTTAAATGGCATATTTTTTATAAATTATAAGAGAATATTGTTTACTAGCATAAACTAAAGTTAATATTAGCCACAAAGTCTAAAGAAAGTGAAACTCACCATTCTATCTGTGACTGTATAACGAGGCGTACACCCTGAAACCTTTCTTCAGCTTTCTTGTTAGAGCTTCGGATTGGTGTACATCATTACTTGTGACCTTGGGCAAGCCCTGCAAGCACTTAGTATAAAATGCAATTTTCAATAGACAGGAAACCACCGAACCGCTTTTCCCCGAACACGGAAGCTGAGCCCCACTCTAGTCTTCAAGGGCCGCTGTCCTGCAGTTTTTAGATGTGCCACAGGGACAAAACGCTGGAGTGAAATGGCTTAATTACCTCCTTCTTGTGTAGATATCTTCTCCAGAGCCTTGCTAATGACCTAAATATTCTATTCAGGTGTGGTGAAGCAGAGGCACATCTAAAAGTTGCAGGGCAGTGGGCCTTGAGGACTGGAGTTTGACAGATGTGCCATACATCTGACCTGAGCACCAGCACCAACAGATAGATATCTATCCGGACTATGGTAGAAAAATCTGACTGGAAGCAGCTTTGAGCATGCGTGACTCATTTCCAACGTGGACACAGAATGGGGTTCAGTTCAATTCAGATCTATTTAATCAAGGACAGCACATTGAACAATGCTACACGTGTGGGTGGAGACAGGTGGAAACTGTTGTTTTGTGCATAGATTTACTGGCCCATGCACAAAATTTCTTGGTTGTACCTTTATTTAAAGACAGTAATATCAGAAGTTAAAAGTTCCTGTCATGCACACAGACACCTATCTTGAATCCCTTTGACTATAAACAAATAAAACACAAGTGTCAGAATGTATAGCAGAGAAAGCTAATTCTCTGTAACAGTGTAGGTCAGTATAAATCAGTTTTCATGTATTTGTTCTTGTTCTAGCAAATGTTTCATCTGGGAATTGAAAACTCTTAAGATCAGTTTTCATTTTTATTCCTGAAGGTGGGGTCTCTGTGTGCAGGTGAGGTTTTCTCAATCAGGTCACTCTGGAACTGACCACCTGTCTGAGCTCTGGGAAGTGGGAGGGGCTCACGGTAGGTGGGAATTCTGGCTCTTTTTAAAGAACGGGCTCTTTTGGCTCGGATCACTTAAAAGAGTCTGTTCTTTCGGCTCGAAAGAACAGACTCCTTAATTTATTATCCAACAGAAAAATGTTGCAAAATGAATGAGAGTTCCTAGTCGGAAATGACTATATTCAACAGAGTAAAGTGAAATGTGCATTTTGAGTTTTTAAAATACCATATATTTGTTATTTGGCTTTTGATGGTTACATTTACAGATTTACCAGCGAAAAATTGATGGAACGAGAGCTTTTAATTCAGAAATCTTCCCATTTTGCCTGCAACTTGTGTTTGTATGGAACCAGCAATCAAAAAAACATGTTTCTTTTACATGACAGTTTACTACTCTAATGTAATGGTGTTTGAAATGTATTATTCTCTGAAAAACACGCCAGCAATAAATCTCAGGCTCTGAAAGGAGTGAAGGGATTATTTAAATCCACAAGGGGGCGTCCAATTAAACCCAACCATAGTTATTGTTCTAGCATAATGTAGAAAATATGACATTAGTTACACACATAAAATGTACAGTTTAACATTATTTGTGGTTTATGATGGTATGAAAATATAGTAAGCCTTCTTTGCTTAGTTACATTTTGTATTGTTCAATGGACTGAGCGACTGCTGTGACTTTTCCCCCTCCATGCATGGGAAGTACTGTTGCCATGATGCTGTGACATGATTCAGGATAATAGCTGACAGAAAGTTCTTAGGAGCTGTAGCTACACTGAGCTATTGTCTTGCATGTTAATACACAATTTGATCACTATGTTGTTTTATGCAACCGCTGAAAATGATCAGTTCAGCTTTACTGAATTTTAAGTTCACATTAGAAAAAATTAGAAACAGAAGATGTTTGAAACTAGATGATTTTTTTGACTGGTGGTTTCAATGAAGGCAGAGCGTCTTTGTTTCTGTAGAGATCACAGTTGGAGTTGATAATAATCTGCACAGCTCTGGATTCTGACCAGTAAATAAAGTATTTATTTCAGAAACATCAAAACGTCAAGAAGTTAATGATTTACATTTAAATTAAATCCAAGCTGAATATTTAATTGAAATCTGTTGTCTTCTAGTTGCATAAATAACAGTGTTGAGTTGTTGACTTTACATCAGCCCCTCATACAAGGGATACTCCCCTCTACAGGAATAAACCTCCAATAGAACCAGAACTGGGCTCAGTACCAGCGGCCATATGCCATTCTGACTGGAGGTGAGTGAAGACAGAGCAGAGACACAACAACAGGTCAACTGATCAGGAGAACTTCCCATGTTCATGGAAATGAAAAGGAGAGGGAGAACGGTTAGGTGATGGCAGCATCATGAGAGCCGATGCACTTTTCCTGGAAGCAACCACAGCTAATCAACACCAGGCCAGGTGTAGCTTCTGTGGAGAGAAAAGTAACAGAGAAAACGAAAAGCTTAGTTTCTATTTAGTTAGAAACACCAGAGTGCCTCTCCCCAGGTTGGTTCAGTTCAGAGCAGGGAACTGTTTCTGGCTTTGTTTTTCCCCTGCAGTGGACTCCCACCTTATCGTGGTGGAGGGGTTTGAGGAACAAGGATACTGTAAGGCAAAAAAAAAAAAAAAAAATCAGGGACAACGTTAAATATCATGAATATGAAATGCTAAACATCGGAGATAAAGTTAAACATCCTGGATGGCGTTAAACAGCCACGATAACACTGAATGTTAAACATCAGCCATAACGGGAACCATTGGTGGCTAAGGCTTAATTAACATTGGGGCAACTTTATTTTCACACAATTTATTGATTTGATTTTAAGTCTGCAAATATTGGAACCTTAAAGTGTTTTTAATAAAAAAAAATTGCAATCAGGTATTGGGAAAGCTCAACGTAATGTTCAGATGGTGGAAGATTGTCAACAGCTGCTGAAAGTAACTTTGAATGTAACTTAGTTATTCTGCAAATCAAGATATCAGTAATTACTTTTTCAAGGAATAATCTGTAATTTGATTAAAGTTACTTTTTCAAAGTAACTACCATCACTGCCAATCAGATGGTGAAATAGGCCAATTTTCACTTAAATGGATAAGAAGTGTACACCCTTTTGCAGCTTGATTTAAAAATAAAAAATAAATTTAATTGTTAGGGTTATGACAATGATTTGATTTTGCATAACTAATTATGCATAATTAGGATGTGTTTTTTTTAGACGCTCAATTTATTCAGATGGAGAAGCAGGTATTTTTTTCAAAACAGTAGCACCGGGCCAATATTTAACTGTTAAAGAACAAACCATCATAACGTTTCTGCCGTTTCTTCACGTTGGCTCGCATAGCCAGTCGAGCTGGCTCGGGCACGAGCGACACATCTGAACCACACTAGGATTTCAATTTCAGTCGTTATCCCTACCGATCTAATATACTTTAAAAGACGCCGTAGAAATGGAGGCGATACACACCACGGGTATTTGGATGGCCCACTATCTGCAGCAGCAGACAGGTAGCCTCGAGAAGTTCTGGCTCACCGTCACTCACTTTGGAGATCCCCAAATAGGATTTCTGTTCCTATTCCCTTTAGCTTATTTTGTGTGTAGTCGATTGGGAGTTGCGGTGCTGTGGGTCTCAGCCCTGTCGGAGTGGCTAAACTTGATGCTTAAATGGTAAGAAACATGTAAAAGAACAACCTTTGTATTTGATTCACAGCGACAGTTACGTGGGATATGTAGCATCCGAATTTCGTCTTGTACAACAATCGGCTTAACTTATTTCTCTACTCTCGCGTATTTCTCCACATTTTGGGTTGACGTGAAATTTGAGAGTCTCTTGTATTTTACTTTAGCTGACGTTTTAGCTTCCGGGACAACACCGCAGTTCCGACTCTATATGTTGTCCGTAGCGGAACAGACTGTAGTGGAACCATAAACATAGGAGAACAGATTCCACCGGAGTCCTTGAACGACACTTAACGCCAAGTACGTCAGTGGTGACTCCATGTTGTAATAGGCATTTGGTTGAGACGCACGCAATTTTCCTTGCAATTAATTTTCAGTAGCTGTTGATATTGTACAAAATAAATAAAAGCAAACCATAAACATCACGTGGATAGAATAAAAACAACAGCTAAATACATTTAAAATAATAGTTGTGCTGAAAGTAACTTTTAATGTAACTTAGTTATTATGTAAATTAGTTATTCTACTGGTCTTTCTTTTAAATACTAGTTGGTCCCCTATAAACATATATAGCTCAGGTATTTAAGTCCTTCCAAATGTACAAGATATGTGGGGTTTAGATTGATTATGCTGGCAACAACTCAAAGATTTCAGTTGCTTTTGTTTTCCAGCTTTTTTTTAACGGAATGAAAACAGAAGTGAAAGTTTAAAATCCTCCAAAAACTTCAGATAATAGAAAAAAAAATCTAAATTTTTTTTGCAGAAGTTAGCTGGAAGTAGCTTTGTAGCTCTTTTTGGACTAAAAGATGCCAGTTGTTTTGTTTCATGTCTGTTCTTGATCAACCATAAAGCTCAACGGATTTCTGGTTTTCATTGTCCTTTTGACTTGTTCTAGGGTGCTATTTGGAGACAGGCCATACTGGTGGGTTGGTGAATCTCGTGTATATTTCAGCACAAAGCCCAAAATCTCCCAGTTTCCATGCACCTGTGAAACTGGCCCAGGTGAGGCAAAACCTAAACGCACCCAAATCATACTCAGCACCCTTCATTTGGAGATCAGAGTTCCAGATTTGGTGTTGGTTTCTCAGGCAGTCCGTCAGGACACTCGATGGTGACTGCTGCAGTCTGGTGGGTTGTGGTGCCCCCTCTCAGCTCCTTTCTGCACTCCCGCACTCACTGGTAAACAAAATGAATGAAGTATATTCGAAAGAAAGAGTAAACACAAAAGTCTTGATTAGTTTTCTGTTTTTTTTTTTTGTCCACAGCTGGGTTATATCAACTGCTCCCTATGTGATTTATGCGCTGCTGCTGGGTGCAGTTGGAACATCCAGAATCTTTATCCTTGCTCATTTTCCTCACCAGGTTGTTACTGGTATCATTACAGGTCTGAATACAGAATTATTACACATGTTTTATATATTTACAGCATATATTTTGTCAACTCTGATTATTTTGGTGTGTGATTTCTTGACATATAAATCATTTTTAGCCATGAAATAGGGATTTCAAAGCTGTTTTGGCTTTTAGATGCCAAGATAAAAGTTTTAAACCAGTTCACTGGATCTGATTTATGTGTCCAGTCAAAATCCAAAATACTTTATGTGCAGACGGACATTAAATACCTCAAACTGTTTCTTCAAATAATCATTATTATTGAACTTAACATCATTCATACCCCTGATAAATTTGAATTGAAAATTGATTCTATTCAATCAAAAAAAAAAAAAAGAAAAAAAGGTCTTGGTTGAAAATAAGACAGGTATTTTTTCAAGAGACATTAAAAGCATGTTTTAAAGAAATGTAAAGAAAAAAGGCTTAACTGTTTGTTTTTTTTTTTGTTTTTTTTTTTACTGGTCTTTCTTTTAATGGCTACTTCAGGGTGTTAATATGACTTATAGTGAGAAGAAACATGTAGGTACAATTAAAAGAAACATTAAGATGTTAATCTAGTAGTAAAGCATAAAAAGTTTTGGTCTTAACTGCTGATGATAAAGGCTGTAGGCAGGAAGGATCTCTAGTACCGGTCTGTATTACAGAGGTTCTGAAGAAGCCTCTGACTTAAAACACTTTGTTATTGAATTAAAATCCCATGAAGATGATTCTTAGGTATTTCTATCATATTCCTCATAAGAAATTGTGTAGAAACCCTAGAAGGATCTGAATTCTTTTTTAAGAATTTGATAACACTGACAGAGGTTATTGTTAATTATTTTTCATGCCTATTGGAGCTGATTGTTTCCAGGTATCTTTCTGGGGATTTTCTTGTCAAGACCATTACCAGAAGGGCACCCCCTGTTGTTCTTCGTCAGCTTCAGTGCAGGAATGCTGTTCAGTGCTCTGATTCTGAATGTTGCCCTGCGGCTGGTTGGCATTGACCTCCTCTGGTGAGAATCTTAAACTGACAGAAGATAAATCAATGCTTCTATGAGAGGCATCCTGTCTCATGTTGTTTTATTTTGCTTATTTTAAAGGACTGTCGCTTTGGCGAAGAAATGGTGCAGCCGTGCTGAGTGGATCCGCATGGACACATTCCCATTCTCCTCCCTGGCCCGGGACTGCGGGAGCCTTGTTGGTCTGGGCCTGGCCCAGTACTGGAAGCAAGGCAAATGGTGTCTGTCGTTCAAACACCGCGCTCTGTCCCTAGTTGTTTCATCCATTGGGCTTTACCTCTTGTGCAGCCTGCCGCTCCCTCACAAATCAGAGGGCCTCTATTACTGCTTGGTCTTCGTCAAGTTCACCCTGGTGCCTCTGATTGTCATAGTGCTCAGTCCTGGGCTGGCTCACTTTTTCATACGCAGAAGAAAAAAGGATTAGAGATGCACTTCTTCACATGAGTCAATGTTGTCTTGTCTTCAGTCTTTTATTCTTCTTACTTCTGAATGTTCCAACTCTAAATGCTGTATTTCAGATATACATTTCTGATTAATGGTGTTAAACAGGAACCAAAAATATATACTTGTATTTTCTTTTATAAGTGACGTGATCAAGGGTTTTTAGCCTGTCAAAATATTTTTGTATTTGACAACGCACTTTTGCCTCATTCATGGTGATTGTGAGAGAACCTTCGTGCTTTCCAAATTTGTCCATGTTAATGCACTGCTGGTGTTCTGAGTGTTAAAAAAAACCCAGCTCTATTGTGCATAGGCCAATATCAAGTTTCCCCTGTTTGTATGACACATACAAACGCATAAGTGTCTGTGTGCGTAATACGTACGTATTACGCATGTTCCTCTGTTTCTGGAACAAAAACAGAAATATTTCCACATGTAGCATTGTTTCTTCTGCAGTGAACAGCAACAGGGGGAACCACTGTATGTACTTTCTTTGGCATCTCATTAAAAGTAGTTCAATTTGTAGGAAATGTTTCATGGATAGCTTGAGGTTTCAAGACCATTACTTTTGAAAACCTCAGTGTCTCTTAATGTAGCCTACACTGATCCCTGCATAAAAGGCGACTTAAGGTTGTGTTAAACTGTTTAAAGCTAAAAGCACCTTCATTTATACCAGATGTGTCAAACGTTAGATTTCAATCACATTTTTTTTACAGGCCCTGGGGGTCGAGATATTTGAGTCTATGCTTTTTTAAACTGTAGTTTTTTTTTAGAGTTTACTTTTGCAGCAAAAGGGGAAAGGAAATACTAAAACAAAACTATTTTACTGTGCGGTTTATTTTTTTTAGTTAAATCCTTTGAAGAGCCAACTAAAAAAACATTCCTTTCCTGTAAAATTCCTTCCTACATTTTCATACAGTAGCTAATACATCCAGATCCACAAAGTCTTAACACTATTTTCTTGATAGGAAGATTTATTTTTGAATAGAGGAAACATGTCAATGTTAAAATTCATTGAGATGCACTATTTTTGATTTTTGTTTCTACAAATTAAAAATTCAATTTAAAGATCCCCTAGAGGGTTGAGTCCAGATTTTTTTTTGCCAGGGTATGGAAAGAAAGAATTGCTGACATTGTGCAATATCTTGGTTTCATGTTGTCTTGACGTTTGATACTCTATCACATGCAGATCAACATCTTTTTACCATATCTATGCAATCGACAAGTCCAAAAATAAATGACTGACATGCATAACGTGTTTCAGTTTATAACCATTTATAAATATGTTTTTTTTTTAATACATAGTTTGGACTGTACATGTTACAATCAGTTATCATGAGATAAAAACACATTCTTTTTTAACATTTTTAATGAAACTTTTTATCACAGCGATCTGAAAGCTCACATTTACAGACAAGAGAACTCTGCTCAGCAAGCAAATACGTTAAAAACTAAAATAAAAGGAAATCTTTTACTCGTCAGGTGAGGCTGAAGGAGAATGATGAGGACAGTTCAGGGACAGCAGTAGACTCCTTATCTTAATCCCGACACCGTATCACACACTTCTATACATGTTTCTGCTGGAGCTTCATGGAAAGAATAGAACATGCATCGGACTATTTACAGCAAACTAATATACACATACAGCTCGAACTCGAACGCCCTTGGACTCCTGCGACTGAACAAGTCCTGTTTAAGTTGGGTGTGATACAGTTTGACCTTCATTTCTCTGACAGCTGTTAAAACAGGAGACGAGGAGGAAATCTCTCTGTTGATCATCTTTATCTGACATCACAAAGTAAAAAGCTACAGCCAAAAAGCCTATAACTTTTCTCATATATAACAAGAACTTGACTATTTTTGTTATTCCACATTACGATGACTCCAATAATGGAGTTTCTGGAGAAAATACCAAGCCTTATTGTTATTTTTCTATAATTATTCTATTTTCTTTCAGCAGATTTATATTTCCAACATTTGTGCATTTAAGAAGCTGTTCTAACATAGACTTTTTTTTCTTTTTTCTTTGGAACAAGGTGAAATAATGATTTGGCCTTTAAAAAACAAAACATACCCACAAATCTGAGCCGGACCGAGCACAGTATCTAAACCACTATATACATCTTGTGCTAGAAAGTCTATACATCCTCGCCAGTTTTAAAAACGTCGTTCTCTCCTCGTACCGTCACTCACCACCAAGCTGAAAAATTATACAGTAATGGAATCTATGACAGTCTGGCCGCATCGGACGCACACCCACTTTCTCCAGATTCACCAAGCGCAACAACCAAAGTAGATAAAATATATAAAGTGCACCCTTAGTTCAAAATGTAACACAGCTCATAGGGCAGAACTGGCTGGGAAAAAAAAATTAAAAATCATGAAAATAATAAAGCAGAAGAGGGAGAAATGTTTACCAGGAGCTGGTGAGAAAGGATAGGGAGATGCATTTGCTTGCTTGTAACCTTTGAGCTCTAACCCGTCACTATTATGAAGGAGGGACATAACCAAACCTCAATGGTACTTTCAATATTAAACTTCCAGTTAGTCACTTATCGCTTACTCAGACAAAACTGTTTTATTGCAATCAAAGCTGACTTCTGTTCTGTAATTCCAACAATTAGAGCCACTAATTAATAACAAATAGCTAACATACTGCAGCCAAATGGCTCTTTAGAAATATATACAGACTCTTTAGAAAAGTCTGATTTTAATGACATTAAAAAAATGTCTCTTTTCAAAACATTTCCTGCGTATAACGCCGTGCGTCCCTACTCTAATGACAGAAAAATAAACTAATCTGTTTAGAAATAATAATAAAAAAAACCCCTAAAACATCCTGGTGGCATAAGTGTGTTCAGCTGAAGACAAAAGCTTTCTTGGACTCTTCAATTTAAGCATTCAGTGTTATTGAATTCACTTCCACAATAAATTATTTTGAATTTATCTGATCTATAACAAGAATCTTGCAGTAATAAAGTACCCCTAACATTGGCAGAAACAAAGTGAATTGAGAATCATCTTGGGGAAACAACTACCTAAATTTATTTACATTTTGTGTAAAGAAATGACTAAGGCCCTTTTAGATGATCAATTTCTATTTAAGCGTTAAAGCAAATAAAGTCTTTATAATTGCTCAGCAGCTTTTTGCATGTTTCCACTGGCATCTTCATGGTTTATCTTTGGTGATGTGCAGTTGCTTTCAGGTTGGAAGGTTCTCTTTGCAATCATCCTAATGCTAAGCTCACTCCATTAGATTCGAGTTGGGATTCTGGCTGGGCCACTCCAAAATGTTACAACTTCCAGTCTGAAAAAAATAGTAAAATCAAGAGATGACTTCAAACAATAAAGCTCCAAATCTTCAGATATCTGGAAGCTAAAATGAAGATACTTCACCTGATGAAAAGTAAAGTTTTGGAGCGGCTGAGCCAGAACCTGAACTAAATCAGACATACAATTTGAAGAGTTGTGGAAAAGGAATGTCCTCACAATCTGACAGATTTAGAGATCTTTTAGAATTAACTAATACCAAGAATGCTAAACATTCATTTAAAAAGAAATTCTCGAAGAATTATTTTAAAGGTGTTCACACTTATGCAACCAGGTTATTGCACCTTCTTATTTAAAAAAACTGACCCTAAAATAAATAAAGTTTTTAATTTCGTTTTGCAAGAGCTTTGAAACTGGACTACTTTTTTAACGTCACAATATCCAAACAGTTCTATAGGACATTTCTACACTTGTTGTAACAGATATGATGCCAATTGAAAGGATAAAATTTAGATTTTTTTGTTTTTCGAATGCATAAATCCACACAGAAGTTGCAGCCTGACCATTTTTTGATCATCTGAGTAAGAATTTTAATCATCAACCTGTTCTAATAAAGTTTCATTTTGGAAATTATGATCAATCCTTTGTTTTGTTTTTTGTGTCAGAAATGTAAAACGTGGTCTATATCTGATCATTTAGGCACCTCCACAAATAATAAATCAACAACTTCAATTCTTAAATAGTTTGAGATTTTAAGCAGTGGCTTGCGTCTTTTGGAACAACATGTATCAAAGCTTGCCTGTCCCTCATTTTTCGGCATTGGTCAATTTTTCCACCTCCACATGACTAGCAGTGTAACACAGTAGCAGGGCTAACAGAATAAAATTTAAAATGCAAACTATTTTTGCTTTATTTTCTATGTACAATATATAACTTAATTATAAATATTGTCATTTTTCTCTTAAGTACTGAGTCGTAGAACCTTTTGCTTTTTCAGAGCAATGTACAGTATTGAACAGATAATATTTAGTACATAGAATAGAGCCTACACAGCAACCTTGGTTAAGAGCACACTTTGAAAGAACAGAAGATGAGCAGAGAGTCCACGAGCAGAGTCTAATGAGGAGCACGGTCACTCTTTCAGTCCCATCTGGGGTGGTCACTTGTGGTCGCGTTGTGCCACTCTATGTCTTGGAAGTGCACTGGTCAAAGAATGAAATGAGAACTCAGAAACTTTCTGTTGTTCAGCCTGTGCAGATTATGATGATGATGAAATGATCAATTCAGTATCGGTTATGTTTTTTTCATATAGGATTGCGTCTAAAAGCCTAAATGTGGTATTCTCTCTTTGACCAGAGTTGTCTCTTAAGAGTTCTTTTGCATGAGTTTGTCCATGACACATACACAGATCACATGTCACATTTTTTTTGTTTTCTTTTTTAGATAAATATTCTTGTTTCACCTTCACTTCTACTGACACGCCAAGTCCAAACTGTCCACTCACACATTCGACTCCACAAATGGTCTCTTTGGTTTGATGGGGGAGGTGGGGCCTTGGGTCCGGGAGTCACGTGACAGCTGGCGGTACATGTTGTCCTGGTAGGCCTGTGCCACTGGCAGAGTCCTTGCCACCTTCACATCAGGGTAGGTGGGCACCTGGCTGACCCGTTCCAGAATATCACCAGTTCCACGAGATCCATTGGCCAGCTTTCCCAGTGAGGAGGGTTGGGTCTGGGAGTAGTAGTCCTCCTCCAACAGGTGTCCATTTTGGGCATTGTTGGTCTTGTTGTAGTAGGCGATGTTGCCCAGAGATGCCGGGGGACTGTAGGTGGAGCCCTGCTGGACGAGCTGCCCAGGGGAGGTCGGGCTAATAGCAGAATCCATGGAGGTCATGGGCCTGGACCGTCCGGGCTGATACAGGTATTGTTGAGTCCGAGCGGTCTTGTCTATGATCCCCATGAAAGGCGTATTCCTGGAGCGGGTGGTTTCACCCTGATATAAACCACCACTCTGAGAGGGAGAGATCGGGGAGATGTCGTCACAGGCGCGCTCATATGTGGCTTGCAAGGGGATCTCCATCTGCTGAATAGACGCGGAGGGCCTAAAGGCCTGAGCTATGTTGGAAGTAGACCCAGCTGAGATGTTGTTGCTAGAGGGGGAGAATCGCAAGCCCACACTCTGAGAATGGATGAGAGGCCTGGGGGTGGGCACGTGCTGCTTCATCTCAGTAGTATTGGCACTCACGGGACGTCTCACCATGTGGGGGATCTCAGGAGAGCCCAGCTGACAGGGAGGCATGGCGTTTGCACGCTCCAGTACGTGTTCAGAGACTGGGTAGTAGGCTGCAGACTGGCTGCGGCTTATCTGAGGTGTCTGGCTGTAACGGATGCCCCCTGGGCCCCCGCTGCTGGCGCGGTAGGCAGAGGAGGGGCGCTGGGGTAGCTCATCTTTCAATAGGTTTGACTCCATGACCCCTCCTCGGCCGCCGTGCTGACAGAGGGCCCCAGAGCTGAGGCTGGCTTGGACCTGGGGCATGGACCGCCCGTCCAGGGACGGCTGGTACACCAGGCGGCTCTCCACATCCACTGAGCCCCCCTGATAGCGACCGCCAATGGAGTGGCCCATTGGACCACTAAAGCTGTTGCCCAAGACGTTGGGCTGGTTTGTGCGGACGATTTGGGCGATAGAGGGTTGGAGGCGAAGACCTTGGGCTTGGTGATGCTGGGAGGATATCGATGGCTGTGAGGTCAGCTGGAATGAACGCTGGGTGCTCATCTTGGAAAGGGGAGATTTGGGTCGTCCAGGGAGCTGCTCTGTCTGGTAGCGCACCGGAGACCCAGATTGCGATCTATACAAGCACACACTTTCCAACGGCGGACTAGCTCTGTACTGGGCAGCCCGACGTAAAGGAGAAGGCGGTGGGCTCTGGTGATCCATTCCCTGACCCCCGCTGCCCATAGGAGGTGGGCTGAAGCGGTAGGACTGTTGGTGCACTGGGGAGGTGTGAGGAGGGCTGTGTCGGTAGTGGGAGTTTTGATGAGTTGGAGAGAGAGAGGGCGATGGGGGCTGGTATGAACCTCGAGTTGGGGAGGACATAGAGGAGGAGGTCGGGAGGTATTCATAAGGCTGGCCCATGGGTGAACCCCCAGCTAAATAAATCTGATCCGGGTGTGTGGGGGAGAGAGGTGGGCTTTGTATGATAGGAAGACTTGACGGATTGGTGAGAGATTCTGGAGGTGGTAGTGCCAAAGACATGGCCTCCAGCTCCTGCTCTAAGTAGTCCTCATCCTCAAACAGGTCCTGGACAGGCTCCATGTCCTCCAGGCGGGGCTCAGGTGGAGGGGGAAGAGGCATGGACAGGGACAGGGACTCCTCCTCCTCTGGAGGGGGTGTAGGGGGAGGTGAGGGTGGAGGCTCTAACTCCATGTCCTGCTGCTGGTGTTCTTCCTGGTTGAGCTGATGATATTCCTCTTCCACCCTCTGGAGGAGTCGCTGAATTTCTCTGTTATTTGGACATAGTTTTATGGCTTCATTTAGGTCCTCTAAGGCTTCAGGAAATTGTCTGAAAACAAGACAAAAATGAGATCTTTAGAGAAAAGGTCCACAACACAACACAGAGTATGAGGACATCTAAAAATATATAATAAAAGAAAGGAAGAGGGTAAAGAATATTTTCAACACTTTCCTTTTTGTACCCGCCAGGGAAATAGATTTGAGAGCCAATCATTTGAAGTAATTTTCGAACAACTGATCCAATCACAAGCTAATTAAACCGGAACAGATGGTGAAATGTTTTAGCTTTAGCTAAATTTTAAAATTGTTTGGTTTTTAGTCATACTACTGGCATTTGGTATCTGCCAATTTTTATGTTTGTCTTATTGGTTTTACTAAACTGAATTTTATTTCTTTTTTGTCAACTATCTACCTGTGAGGATTGTTTGTTGTGAAGCACTTTGGTCAGCTGAGGCTGTTGTAAATGTGCTATATAAATGAACACATTATATTTGAATATACAATATAACATGCTTTACTTTGCAATTGACATAAATTATACTACGAACAGACAATTCTATGATAATTTTCAACGATAAGTAAGGTCTCAGGTCGACATGTTACCAATCAATGGTTTAATTAGATGCATAAGGTGTGCCTGAGAGAAAACACTACAAACGACAGGAACCTTTCATTGGATCTTAGAAGAATGAAGCGAGTCATCCTAAAACCTTAGAGAACAGATTTCTGCCTTGAACAGAAAAGGCAAAGGATACAAAAAGAGAGCAATGAATCTACATTTTCAGAGAGATACAATGGCACAATAGGTAAAAGACAGGAATATGAATTGGAGAAAGAGTGAACTGATATGGGGTTGACTGAGAAAGGCAGTGGAGAGTTACAGTGGGTCAACCTATGATCTTCAAAAGGATAAAAAGGAGGTACCTGCTGCTACGTTTGGCGCGTGCTCTGGCATAATAGGCCTCATACGATTTTGGTTTCAGTTCAAGTGCCTTAGTAGCAAATTCCTCAGCCATCCCAAAGTCCTGCAAAGATTGAAATGCATAAAAAATGCGATGAACTGCATTAAAAACATGAAATGACAAAATAACCTTGCATGAGGTTAAATCCAAGTACGTTGACTGTTTTTTTATGTTTGTAATCTCAGTCATTTTGGTACTTCTCCATTAGTCAGAGCAGAGTAATCGCAGACTTACATTCATTTTCCTCCGACATCGGGACAGGTTGAGGAACAGCGATACTTTGAGTTCCTTGAATGTCTTGAGGTCCTCACTAAAGCCTTCACGTGGAAACTTTTTCAGAGCATATTGGTAACGTTGAGTTGCCTCCTTCACCTTCCCCTTCTGTTGGAAGAAAAAAACACTGTTTCTAATTTCCGTCCATACAGTATCATTTTGTGTCCTATCCTGTGCTTCAATGCCATGCTGCGAGTCTTACTTTTATTATTATTCAAATTTGTAGATACACCTGAAAAACCATTTAAGTCAAAGGATGAAATATGCACATTAGACAGAAACTCTTGTTTTCTAACCTTGTAGAAGCTGTCCCCCTCCTCAATGAGCTTGCTGAGTAAGATGATCATGATGTCTGGTTTTGAGGTGGCCATGGCCCACGTGGCTGGACCTGCACAACACGGAGAGGATGACAGCAAAAACGTGGTGAGAAAGGCAGGTAGGTGAATGAAAATCTAAGGGGTATAGGAAGGAGGACGGAAAGTTTAACTAGGAGACGCACCACAAACAACAGTAAGACCACAAGAATCAGGACAACAGTCAAAAATGGGGAATGGAAGAGAGAAAACAGGCAATCGAATGCAGAGGAAAGATAAAACACATCTGCTCTAAAACCTCAGTGTGACTTCGCTTTGGAACTTCAGGCTTCAGTCAAAATCTGTTTGCTTTCAGGAGTGGTCTTCTAGATTAAAAATGGAGCATTTGCAATAACAGAAATAGTCCAATCGATTTTTAAAAAATATTTCATGTCATGTAATGGATCAAGCATTTGCAAACAGAACTTGGTTAAAACAAACTTTTAACAGAATTAGTTGAAATCATCATTTGAAAATTGTACCTTCCATTTCAGCAACAATAGAGGAGATCCATAAAGGGGCAAATATTTTTTACAGCACTGTAAGACGATGCTGGTTTCCACATGAAACCCCCCCACATGCCTCCCCAAAAAAACAACCTAGCGGACAGATTTGTTGCCAACTAATGTGTGTGTGTGTTGTATCTGTGCAAAAGCAGGTTTTGACACACACATATACACACACCAACCAATGAAAACTATATGAGGACTTGCACAAGTAGACATGGTGCATGTGTGGTGAACAGCACACGGCAAGCAGAGTTGATGTGAGGGGGATCTGTGGATGTTAACTGTTCACTGAGCTGCAGGTTGAAGGAGAAACGCTGCCAAAACAGCCAGTCTGACACAGAAGGAACATCTGAAGTATGACTGTGGGTTTCCATTGCAGTCTACAAACACATGCACATTTGGAAAACTCACTTCCACAAAAGCAATAATGCGTGTTCCTGTCATGCATTTGGGAGGCGAGAGGATATTTCAGCATGATGTTGCAGGCTGGAGGCCGGGCATGCTTTTATGAAACCACTTTGGCGTTAGCATCTACCTCTAGACAATCCTGAGCTCGCCACTCTTACTGCTAATACCTTTTTGCATGTTATTATTTGTCAGTTTGAGAAGGGTTTTGGTAGCTAAGCTCGCCTGCTGACACTTAGGACCACACAGACAACACAGAGAGAGGAGATAGAGCTGTCAAAATGCCTGGTAGGGTGAGAGGTCGACAGCCTTGGCTTTACCTCGGGGCCGACTGGGCAGCGTCTGACATCCTGGCGCCGGTAAAAGAGGCAGGGAGGGGGTTGGAGTGGAGGCAAGAGTGAGGTGGTAGAGGGTGAGTGGGTGGGGGTGGGATTGCCAGAGAAAAATAGTGGCGTGGGAGTGCAAAAAGAGTAAGAGGAGAGAGAGAGAGAGCAGGTGGGTGAAAGAGAGGAAGAGGTGGTGGTGGATGTTGTGGAGGAGAGGTGAGAAAAGGAACACAAGCAGCAGTGAGAAGCGAAGGAGGTAAGTGCCTCAGCAAAAAAAAAAAGAAAGAAAAACAGATACTGAAAAGAAACACTGCAGGCACTAATAACAACCTGTCTCTGAGTAACTGCAGAGGAATGGAGAACGAAGATGTGATTGAGAGAGGAAAACACGACAGAGACAGAGGCCCTGAGAGAAAATGATAAAGAGGAAAGCCCCAAAAAAAACCAAAAAAAAACAACAGTACAGTTGTATAATAATTATAAAAAGATACATCAGAGCTATAGATAGCTGAGAAGAGGCAGCAGGGGGTAGAGTCCATGGCTTGTTGCCACAGAATATAGCAAAGAGAAAGATTCATGTAGAGGAAAAACAGGAGGACTTCCATAAAATGGATTGACCCTTTGTAACCTTTCCATGCAGCTCATTCTCCAACTGCACTGCAGGATGTTTGACCAAGACGCTACTTTAACTTTTGTTTCATACTCCTTGAACTCTTTCATGTTTTCTCAAGTTTGTCAACTCCAAACGTAGTGCAGGAAAATTAGATCTGAAAGATCAACAATTATGAAGTATGTCTCTACTAGTTTTATACACCTAAAGAATTTGGACCGAAAGCATGGATGAGTAGCCTGGTGATGGGAAGAGCAAGAATTCTGCTTCATAATTATGTATGAGAGAAATTGGTCTATCACATCAAATTCGTTGAGATATGTGGTTAGACCTTTTTGCACCGCAGGGCCTGGTCCAGCCCTATTTTAACCCGGCCCTCGTTGTTCTGCCTGGAGCAAAGTTCCACTTCGAAAGTGGGCATCATGCTGGACAATAGCTGCAGCTTATTGTACACGTGGAGTTTTTTGTGGGGCCACAGTCGGTGTATGTTTTCTTTTTTTCACTGCAGGAAACAGTTGCACATATTCATCTGCTTGATGTTCGGCCTCCGTTCAGCTTGCTGAATATCATTTCATCCGAAAGGAAATAAAATGGATGTCATTGAGGATTGAGCATGTCAATATTATCACTTAAAAACTTTTAAGTGGGGCCAGGTTGACTCCGGATCTAAGCGGGCCCCGTCTCTGCAGTGCAAAAGGGGTTTTTGTAAGGGCCAAAATGTCAAAAGGTCCAAGGCCTGGATGTAAGTCCTTCTCCAATGAACTCTATCTTAAAACATTCCCTTTATGATGTCAAAGATGCTGCATCCATGGTGCACCTCATTAAAAGGCTCCTCAGTCTCTCAAACTTTTCTTACCAATCTTGGCTCCTTTCTTGAGCAGAGCCACCACTACCGACGTGTTTCTGCAGCCCACTGCCCGGTCCAGAGGACGCATGCCACTGTAGTCGACGTGCTCTATCATGGCCCCATGGTCGACCAAGAACTGGACCTGGGAAAAAAAGTTGATACACTGGAAAAAACTGATTTCAATGTGAATGACAATATACAGTAGACATATGAGAGCAAATTGGTTGAAAATGTCATGTCTGTGTCTTTCCTACCACGTCAGAGTCGCCGTAGAAGGCTGCTAGGTCAAGGGGTGTGCGTCCGTTCTTGTCTGCGTGGTCAGTGGCAGAGCCGCTCTCCACTAGGTAGCGGACCACAGGTAAATGTCCTTTCAGACAGGCCCAACTCAGTGCAGTCAGACCCTCCTTATCCATCAGAGACAGAGAAGCTCCTGGGAAAAATAACAGTAGAAGTTACACCTTCAAATTCCTCTTTTGATATTTGGACACATTTAATTTGACTGATATGAACTGAAACTGCTCAATTGCTTCTCCAATTGATGCACAGTTTTATGCATCGCTGATCTACTAAACATTTCTAATTTCAAAACCATGCTAAATGTTCATTTTGTTTTTTTTAACATCAACTATCTCTTATTCAAACATTTTTTGGAAGGAACATTACCTTCTCCTTCATATTTTGCGCTTTTCAACTCAGCTCATACAGAACATGTGCTGAGTATTTAAACATTTGTCTATTTTGTCCAGTTTTCAGTTGTTTTAAACACCTAACGGTGAAAGTAAAGGCAAACTAGCATCATGAAGCTAATGTTTTTTTCTGTCATCTTCCAGTTCATTGATGTTTTACTGGGACTACCTACCTTGAGAGAGTAAGAACTCAACCGTTCCCAGATGTCCCTCTGAGGCGGCCATCATGAGAGGCGTGCGGCCCTGCTTATCAGCCATGTTGATGTCGGCTCCATGAGTGAGAAGGAGGTCTACAATCTGCAAAAACAAAAGTACATCAAATTTACAATCTAAACTTTGAACTAAATGACTTACAGTTCACTTTAACAAAATAATGTCAAAGTGAACCTTTTGTTGTTTTTTAGCAAGACAATTTTTTAATTTATCCAGGGAAAATAGTCAATTTGAAAATTCTGCTAATTACTTTGCACTGTCCCTACCAAGTAAATGAATATATTTCAAATTTAAAACAAGAAAATGTTCAGTCTTATGGGAAACTACTTTTGTTTTTGCAAGATTGCGTATAAGGATAAAAGCATGGTCAGCAATCTGGATAATTGAGAAATCCAACGAAAAATCTAAACTAGGAACTTGGGAAACTTTGATCACAGAGAATAGATGGAAGTTTTCAAAGTGAGACAATGCTGTCACCGACCTGCCAGTGTCCGTGTCTGACGGCGCTGAATAGTGGAACAATGCCTCGTCTGTTGGGCTGAGCCACGGCAGCGCCCTGCTCCAATAAGAGGCGGCAAACCTCCAGCTTCCCGCGACCCGAGGCTGCCGTTAGAGCTGATGGCAAACACACAGACCAACGAGAAACAAGAGAGTAATGCACCATTGTTTTGTTTTTTTTTTCCTTTGATAAGGCAACATGCTTCAACCCATCTATAATTCTTTCCAAAGATTGGTTTCCTACGTTGACACACTTCTGAAAGTTGCTTTACACGAGGTCTATGCACTTGTGAACATTTATTATCTTATCTAGTGAAGATTGGACTTCAGTTGATTCCTTGTGAATTTACCCCAATGAGTTTTGCTTCTCAATCTTCTCAGTTTTCCTTCCACTTAGCTTTCCATTATTATGCTTAGATACAGAAATTTGCGCAGCCAGTTTCTTTAGTAAAGACTTCATGCGGTTCACCCTTCTCACAGAGGGTGACTTTGCGACATCTGCCTTCTCACTGATGTATTTTGGAGTATAAAGTTGTTTTCTTACTGGATTTTAATGCTATGATCAACAAAGGAACTGCTTTCAGGTTTCAGGTTGTCACAAATTGGCTATACAGAATTGCCAATATAAATAAGCTTTTTGAATTATATCCAAATTGATTGTTTTAACACTTAAAGTGCCCTGTTTGGATGACCTTGTGTCAGCTTATTTATTTTCTACTGCAGAACACCTTTGAGACGAGGTGTGTAACTGGGTATATTTCCCCGCATCGCTCTTTAAAAACCCGCTCTCCGAGCAGTTGTTGGCCTTCTGATCTCTTACAAATCATAAATATATGACTGAGTGAGAGCATGTTCCCTCCTCAGCAGACATTCGTGAACAGCCGTTTCCACGCCGCAGCTGGGAGAAGAAAGACTGTAATGAGGTTTTGTAGCTGCAGGTTACAATGATGCATTACATTTCTCAGCACCCTGCCACAGTACAATCAGACTCGTCATTTGAAAGCCCCCTGGAGCAACTGCTTCTCCTCCCTACCCTTCCCTTGCTTGTGAGCGACACCTCTGACTGCATCGTCATCAGCCTCTGACGCAGCAGGCACACACGAGAGAGATCGCTTACATCCGCACTGCAGCGATCTGCCTCTCAGCGACACTCAGGAAGCACCCTCTAAGAAAAACAGTGCATGTCTGGAGAGACCCCAGGATGTTCCCCTGCAACTTTTCAAGGACGTCACATCAAGACATCTTTTGCGATTCATTTTTGTGCGGGTTTTGTGTGTATTGTGGCAGTATTGAAGGTATTCCCACCTGTCTCTCCCCACAGGGTGTCAAAGTTATTGATCTGAGCACGCTCCACTTCCTCTTCATCTTTCTCTGGCAGGTCCAGCAGGTAGGAAACAATCTGAAGGACGAAAACACAAAAGAAGCCACACATTAACATCCTGGTTTTCTTTAATATCTTAATTTTCTTTTTTTGTTAAATCACATGTTTCTCCTCTTTTATGCGCAGTCTTGATCTAAGTCTGATCTTATGCTCCCAGGCGTTAAGTATATGAATATTTGGGATGTGGAGTTTCTTTCCACCAGAACTGATTTAAAGTGGACTGCAAAAGTATTCAAAAACTTCAATGTATTTTATTCAGAATTTTATGTTCCACTTCACAACATCCAGTTGTGAAGTGGATGCAAAATGACACATGGTTTTTATTTTTTTCCCCCTTTTTTTTTACAAATAAAAGTCTGGAAAGTGTGTGTACATTTGTCTTCACCGTGTTTTTCTTATTTATTTTTCTGGTTTTCCTGAATTCGCCCGATGAACACTCCTGAAGATACAGAATATACTACAGGAAGATGCAAGAAAAAAAATAATGTTCCAAATATTTCAAGGATTTCCATCTCCATAATGTGGAAGTTGTGAATATCACCACAAGGTAAATTCCATGTGATACAGAGAAATGTGAAGTGTCATGGTAATGTAGACAAAAGCAGATGTGCTGTACCTCTGTGTAGCCCATGCTGGCTGCAGCAACCAGCGCCTGCTGGACTGCTTGGCTCTTGGTGAAGACTGCCTGCTGCTGTGCCTGTGGTGACTGTTGTTGCTGCTGCTGTGAGCCCACATTCCAGTCATTCTGGATGAGGAACTTCACCACCTCCATGTGGCCCCTCAAGGCCGCGTGAACCAGGGCACATTGGCCGTTCTTGTCCAGATGGTCCACCTTTTATACAAAAACACAGATATTAACCCAAAAACAGGGTCCAATTGGAAGAGTCGTGCCTTATTGAACCCTCTCCCCCACACACACACCTTTGCTCTCTTGCGACAAAGTGCAGTGACGATGGCCATGTGTCCGCCGGCTGCAGCGTAGGCAAGTGGTGTGAGGCCGTTTTCAGACTGGGCGTCCACAAAGGCACCAAACTCGAGCAGCAGAGCCACCATGTCCATGTAGCCCAAATGGGAGTGGACGCAGAGGACGGGGGCGTTATTCAGCACCTCCGTGCGGTAGTTCACATTGGCACCGCCCAGCATCAGAAGCCGACTCACCTAAATACACACAAAGAGCAATGCGTTAGAATTCATCTGAGAAGCACTTTCTGTGTGTAATAATTAAACACAGTCATCTTTTATGGATCACTGTACCTTGATGTTGGGAGTGTAGAGATTTCTGAGTGATGAGAGCGCTGCAGAAAGACCCTCTGTGCTGTAAGATATCCACAAACCTTGCAAGATAGACGAGGAGACGCCAACTTTCTTGCTGAGACCCTGGAAGACAGAACGTAAACATTCTTCAGTCCAATGCTTGATCACAGCTGTGTGTGTGTGGGTGTGTTTGCCTGCTTATAATGTTCCACCTTAAAGATATGTGCTTTGAGTATGTGATGGCCCAGCTCGATGGTCTGCTGTCTGTTCAGCTTGTTCTGCAGGCGAGAAAACCAGAAGGCCAGCAGAGTGTGTCCACTCCTGCAGAGACAATGAACACATGCCGTCAGTGCTTCCTGTACTTTTTAAAGCCAACACCACTGCTGGTGAAGTTGAGTTCACCAATATCCACAACTAATTCTTTACTACAGAACAAACAATACTGTAAAATGTAATTTTATGTATTTATTTTAGATTTTTTTTTTTTACGTCTCTATTAAGTGTGTTTCTGATCCAGAATTTTACTGAATTCACTTTCTCCCTCGCTTATCTGTGCTCACCTCGGATCACAGAGGAACTTTGTCTTTTCTCCCTCTTCTCTCCAGATCAGCCACTCCCTGAAGGAAGGGTGAACAAACATCCTGGTGCCGTCCCTCCTCTTCACGAGGAAGACTGACAGGTTGTCGACGCGCTGCTGAAAGTCTTCCCAGTCCAGAGTGCCCTGCCACCAAACACAATGCACATGTTAAAGCTGGAAGAAGAGATTAAAGACAAAGCTTTATGCATTTTTTGTCCTATTCCTATAAGTTTAAACACATCATGCTGTCCAGCACGGCAGAGAAAGACTAATGATTTGGGTCTGTTTTTCTACCATATGACCGTTGCGTTTCTGTACCATTGGTACACATAGATTATGTTCACACTGCAGCCTAAAGTGACACAAAGCGACTGGTGTCGGATCTTTTCATGTCAGTCTAAACAACATAGGTTGAATTTTCACAAATCCTTCCTAGGCCACGTGGGTGTCCTAAATCGGATACACATCAGATTTATTTCAAATGTGAACTGCGTCTGTACTGACAGGTTGCTTTCACCTGAAATGTGCACCACTGTTACTCGACAAACGTCACTAATCTACATCCCGATACTCGGAAGCTGGAAGAAAAACAACAACTACTACAGTGAGGATTAAGTTGTTAGTGTGCTGGACAAAGAACTTTAAAATCACACAATTTGCCCCAACATTGTCAAACACTGAGCAGGCTGGCTACATGTGATGTTACTGCATATGCAGGTATGAATGTAGACATAAAGTCTCCTTCGCCAAAAGTGCTATCTCAAGAAAATTACCTGCATGGAACCAGCGTTGATGGCCTGGTATATCTGCTCGTCTGTCAGCGGATGGAGCGACGCCACGGCCACGTTGAGAAGGGGAAGCGCCCGCTCGAATGACGACTGTGTGGGGAAGCGCATGTTGCACTGCAGCAGGTACACCTCCGCCAGGTTTACTGGAACCACCTGAGGAAGGAAGGAAAAGAAAGAAAGGAAGCAGAAAATCTGAATGGTAATGCTGATTTCCTTTGGATCCCTCTACACAACATGAATAATGCATCATGTTTGCACGGAGCGCCTTTCGCTGCTCCACACGGACTTCCTCTGAGCCAAGAATGTAAATTTATCACTTGTCACTTCTTTATGGAGTCTGGAAGCACGTCCGAATACATGAAATTAAATGAGTCTGGGGGTATGAGATAAAATATTTCATTACAAAAGGCACACTGAAACACTTTGAATGCATCATTAATCAAAGGATGTGTAAGGTCCTGGCAGTTCAAAAAAGCTTTAGTTACACTACAATGCAGGTAAATAATAATAATAATAATAATAATAATAATAATAATGAAAAACACTCCCAAGTATTGTCTGAGGTAATTAGTAACTTATTTATTTTGGATTAGGAGGTTTTGAAAGAATAATTAAATCCATAATTAAATTCATAACTGTGTTGCAAACTGCAACAGTTAAATTTACTTTCTATAAATGCTAAATGCAACACCTGGACAACATTTATTAACTGTATATAAAAGCATAACGTCCCTCTGTCGAGCTATTCTACCGTTTTTATTACAAGGGGAACGCATTTTGATGATGGCAGGTGGCAGGTCATCAGATGGTTGATAATTACCTTCATGAGCTGCATATTAAAGCTACAGCTGGTAGAACAGCACCCAATGTTGGGAGGCAGAATAAGCAAGTGGCTGAACTCCTTCTTTCTTTTCCACACTTCCACTGGTCAAAATTCTGTTTTTTATAATCAAATTTCTACATTTTTAGGATATTTTTATATCCTCACAACCAGACCTGTGAGAAGTCATTTCCACGCCTCGCAGATTTATTAGATTTTTTTGCTTTTTTTTCCTCAGACTTCAAAGTTTGCGATTAAACACATTTTAGCATGATACAGATATAACCAGAATATATCTTTTCAAAAAGCAAGGATATAAAGTACTAAGGGAAAAAAATTCTACCTAAACCAGTTTGATTATGTGGAAAAGTAATTGCCTCCTAATCCTAATAACTGGCTAAACCACCCAATACTGCCATCTGCAAAAGCTGGCACACTCAGGCTTTTACATCACTGTAAAAACATAAAGGTGCACTCTTCATGGTGCAAGCGCTCCAAGTCAGCTACATAATACAGTTTAAAGCAGCCTATGTAAAGTCATACCACACCATCAAAATCAGATTTAAGTATTGACTTTCACTTATGATTCCCGAGTGTGTGAAACTGATGCAAGTTGTGTAGGTCCTCACAAACACAAGCAGCCCAAAACCATCACACTACCACACCCATATGATGTTTTGTTCTCTTAAACTGTGAGGTTTAAGATGGATGTAATGAAACTTTCACGTTTGAAAGAGTTGTTTTTTTATTTTCTCAGTCCACAAAAAAATATACCTAAAGTCTTTGAGGTCATTGTGGGGAAATGTGAAATGGCCACTGTGATCTTTTTTGGAGTAAAAAGAAGGAAAAGCAGAAGAAATCTGAATGGAGAAACAATACAGTAGTTTCCCAGACTGCCTAGATGTCAAATGCTCAAAGTTTAAATGTAAACCTGAACACCCACCTTATAGCTGGAACTTTTGAGAACAAGGTAGCCCTTCTCAATGAGGTCAAAGGTGAGTTTGAGGTACAGGTAGGACCCCTGGCTCAGGGCCTTCAGGTGGCCGCTGAGCTTGCCGAAGGTGGTGTTGTCCATCTTGCCGTTAAGAGAAATGTTGTTCTGGATTTCGGGGCTGCTGTGGATGCGGTGCAGGATGTAGCCCTGCAGGTCCTGGTCTATGGCGTCGTTCTCCTCCAGGCTGTCCAGGGAGATGCGATGAAACGGCAGCGCGTTGGTGATCTCCTGCAAGCGACACATTCAATTTCAGGTTAATATTTGCATATTCAGGCTAAATGTACTGATGACGAGTCGAATCTGGAATCTACTCAGAAATAAATGAGAAGCAGAAATTCAGTGACGTAAAAGCTCTCAGTTCTTTCACCTGTAGCGTCGTTCTGACTGTCACCACTAGTTTGAGCCAGGGAGGGAACTTGTGAATGGTTTTGGTGAGGAAGGAAACAACGGTGTCTCCGTAGTCCGGCTTGTGGAACTCGGCCTCATTGAGGCCGTCGATGAGGATGATGAGGTCCTCCTCAGAGTTGATTTTTCCTTCTGTGAAATAATCAGTGGGGAGAAACTGTTTAGTAAAACTGTTCTATATGAACCTTTGCCACAGATTATAAATCTAATTTAAATTTTTTGAGTTTTCTCTATGTGCGATGTACTGTAAGCTTATTAAAAATGTTCTACAGAAGCTGAAACCCAACCCGATACGACCACTGACAACAACTGGAGTTCTGGCGGGGTTCAGGCTGCGGACCTAAACTTTAATTTTACTTTACTAGAAAATACCGGTGTTCCAACACAAATGCTTCAAAATTCACAACAAGAAATGATGAGTTGTTGCTGTGTTATTTTAACGCTTTCATTATTTGGGTAGAATTTTCAGCAACGAGGGTCTCACCTTTGTAAAGTGCATCCAGGGGTTCTAGGACCCCCCTTCTGAAGGAAGCCAAGGGGTCTTGGACGCAGGAGCGCAGACTCAGGACGCTCTGCAGGTGTGGTTCCCTCAGAAGCTGCTCCCTGTAGGCGACCAGGTGCGGCGAGCGGCACAATAAGGCCGCAACGTTGTGCACAAACTCCGGCACCAGGCAGGTGTAGGCGTTATCTGCCTGGCAGTAGTGATAGGCCACCACCTGGGGGCGACAGAGTACAGAGCGAAAACCGACGGTCACTTAATGAGGAATCCAGCATTCTTCACCAGCTCTCCTGACCTTTACTAGCCTTTATGTGTTACAAAACTTTGTAAAGATCAGTGCTGAGGAGAACATCACCTTGAAAAATAACTGCTTTTAAAGCTGTGTGAGTGCAGAGTCCGCTTTTTGTCACCGTCATTTGGGATGGAGACAACTTCATGGTGTATGATTGCAGCATAATGAAACATAATACTTGTTGTTTCACTGTAAGGCTTTAGCTATTAATAATTCATAGCTGCAGGCTGATTCCTAGTCGGCTCACGCATGTGCGAGCTGACTGTGGCACAATGGAGTCAAGTGTTAAACTGTCACATTTCACAGCTACGAACTGGGAACATGATCAGATGAAAGGGGGAACGGACTCAGAAAAAACCTTCCAAAGGTTTGCAGTGATGCATTGATGGAAAATAGTGCTGGATTTTCCGAGAGGTTTTCAGATAAAACAACGGCAGCAGGTGTGACGTAGAGGGAGGATATTCAGAGGTGATGGCAGCATCCGATGGTAGAGAGATGGGGGAAGAGAGACTCATCAAATAAAATGCTAATTTTTTAGCCACAATGGAGTACGGGGTTTTAAAACAAAAGGGGTGAAAAAGGGAGCGAGTTCAATTATTAATGCCAAGAGTTAACAAGATCTAATAGCTTGGCTAGAAAATGGCTTTCTTCAGATATAAATATTTTATAAGGCTCCCTGGCAAAGTTGTTTTTTCTTTTTTAAACACATCTGCATAATGCAGGAGGCTGGGACTGAGGATGCAGATGGTCGAGCAGCAGGGAAAGAAGGGATTGAGGTGCTCAGGCTGACTGGAAGAACAACAGGAAAAGTGGGCAGGTGTTCGCACTTTATGTGCTTGCGCATTCAAGACTAAAAATATGTTCAAGACAGTAAAGTGGAAATTTTAAAGCAGATTCCAAACTTTTTAGATGATTGTCCCCTTTTCATCTTCAAAAAAAGTTACCAGCTACACCAACATCAGCACACTTTCTGTTTCAAATTTCAAGACAGATTTTCAAACATCTCAGGTAATTTTTTTGACACTTTCTAAGTTTTGTACAAACATTTAAATATGTTGATTTAATTGGTCTAACTCTTCTTGTTTTAAGAGTTTGGGTTACGATAATGTCCCCAATAAATCAAGAGAGGGCTCAGACAAAGCCTATTCAAATGTTTAGGTATAAGTAACGAAAACCTCAAATGTCAAGCAAAGAAGTTTATTTTTTATAAAAATAGACAAGTCGTTATTATCGTGAGATAATAGGATCTTAATAATGATTACCTCGTCTAAGCAAAGTAAGAGTTTTGTTGACAGTTGACTTCGATGGGATCAAGAGATTATTTTGTCACAATAAGCTTCAATATTAGACAAAGTCTTCATCTTTGAATGGAGAGGTTTATTTGAATAGCCGTGTGTTTTCCATACTTGTGACGCCAGCCTCCTCATGGACTCTTCCTGACGTCGCCTCATCTCAGGAGTTCCAGGACAGCTGCCTCCTCCGAGGGTGCCGTGCGTGGGTTGGGGCTGCGTGAGAGGGAGCCCCTCTCCATCTGGACACAAGACAACAAGAACAAGCTAACGGCCAGCTCGAAAAACCATTAACCATAACTTTGAACAGCTATTTTCCAAACAAATATTAAAGTGGGGCTAAAAGGTAGAATTTAAACAGGGCTGAAAGTAGATTGAAGCTCACGTTTGGGTGAGGCCTGCGGGCTGTCCGAGGCGATCTGCCTCATGCGGGTGCCGTGGCAGCTCAGCGCCACCAGCCGGGAGATGATCGCCGTCTTGCCGAAGCCGATGTTGCCCACGATCACGACGCCATGGTTGCTACCACCGTTGGGATTGTTGAGGTGGGCGTCGATCTCTTGGAAGAGCCACTCGCGTCCCGTGAAGACAGAGTCCATGGTGATGCTGGGTACTTCGAACAGCAGAGGCTTGAGAGCGATGTCCTGAGGCCGATAAGGTGCAAAACGCACTGCGGGTTACAGGGAAACAAGAGGACGTTTAGAGGACCCAGGGCTACTTCACTTCATTTTAAAAAGTTCTTTTTAAGATCAAATTTCAGGATTTTTTAGCTCCCTCTAGCTGTACGTCAAAATGTCCAATATATAACTGTCTAATTTTATGGATGGATGGATGGACGTAAAAATATTAATGCATAATGTTATAAATGGACAGACAGGTGGATAAACGAATGCATGAATAAACAAACCGTTTCGATGGACTTTAAGACAGACTGATGGACAGACGGATCCATGGCTGGATGCAGGGATCGGCAAATGTATGAATGAACAGATGGACAGATGTGAGTATGAATAGACAGAAAAGTGCATCATATGGATGCTTACCTGCTAAATCTTCTACATGTTTGCTAATAAGTTTATGTGAACGGCTTGGAGCCTTCTGTTTGGTATCACTACACCAGACACCAGCAGAAAATGTAGTTAATTAGACCAGACATGTTTTCAATGCTTAGAAATTTAGACGTGGTAATTACAAATAAAAAAATGCAACAGTAGTCCAGAAAGTGTTGATTTAAACATACAACACTAAGAAAGTATTCATAAGTACAAACAAAAGGAATTGGTGGGATGGTGATAGCCTAAGGAGTAAGACCATTATATAAATCACAAGAGGGAGAAATGCAAACTACAAAGATCAAAGAAGGTGATTATTACTCTTCTAGATCCAGTGACTGCTTTCATCAGTCGCTGCAGACTGCTGCTTTTTCTCACTAGGGGGAGTCGATACGCCAAAGTCACCCAAAGGTTGGACATGTTCTCTGCAGAACATATGGACCATTAAAGACTAATGAGGTTAAAATGAATCTGGTACACAGTTCTAATGCTGTGTGATAAAAACCTCTGTAAAGTTCAACCCGCTGCCTCTGGGCATCATCTCCTGAGCGCCATCTTTTAAACTCTGAAAGCATCCCCTGCTTTTAATAGTTATGGAGTTCATTTAAATATTATATTTTTAGCAGTTCCGCTTGAGACTGAATGAGATTTGTTTGTATTTGCTAATTACTACATCAGATCAGGGACATTTTATCATGTTACATATAAAACTTTAAATGTTTTTACTGATCCTTGATCTAATATTCCAATAAAAAGTAATGCTTAATTAGTCGACTGTGTAATTGGTGGGAAAAAATACATTGTTTAGTCTGTAAACTCATAGAAGTTTATGGTTGCAATTTGATAAAATGTAAAATTTAATGGTTATGAACACTTTCTAAGCCACTGTAACTAGTAGCCAGGGAGGAGATAGTGTGAAAGACTGACAACCTGGGGCGACAAATGAAATTTAAAGTAACTTACGTGACTGAGATTGCCAGGCATGGGTGTTATTTGCAGAAGCTGAAACGGACAGCAAGCAGAGGAGAGAAAGTAAGGAGAGAAAGAAGAAAAAAAAATCAAGTGAGGACAGAAATGAAAACTGCAGCAGTGTCAGAGGACAGAGCAAGGGGTAGCTCAGTGGAACAAGAAGTGAGCACACACAAAAAAAGTAGCTCTAGCATCAGCATGTTGTAATGTCAGAAACAACCAAACGAGGGTCATTTAGCTACTAGTCTTTGAATCAACACTGAGCACATTTTTAAGCATGTCTGCAGGGCACGTTGGGGAATATCACTAGTTCAACATTTGCTAACAAGATCAATAAATTCCCATAAAGAGTAACGGAGAGAATTTCTGGCAGCAAGTCGACTCGGTATGGCAGACTCCGGCCTTGAATCTACTGGTTTATTTCATGTAAGTTGTTAGCAACATTTTAATATGAAGCCATCAACATCTGCCATGTGTCAAATCTCAAATTTGAAGCCACAGCAACAAGTCATCTCTGACAACATGCCAAATCCTATTCTTTTGCTTCCATCAGTTAGGTGAGTTGTGATCAGATCCTTGCAGAGAGAAGTAGGTGCTGCTCAGATGACAGTCTGCGAGGTAGTTCATTTCACACTCTGCGGACTACCAGCAATAAGCATACAGAGAACCAGAGGTGCAGAAAATATGTGCCTTGCAAGACAGCAAGCACAATATGGCCAAAGAGTGCATTTTGTGAGTTAGCATAAATTTTTATACTGTACCATGAGTTCAGAGGCAAATGTCAGGATTCCTGATATTTCCTGATACATTTCTCAGTAATACATCAGAGAAAATGTGGGAAAAATGCTGGACGCTTTCAAATGTTCAGTATTTGGCATGACCATTCTTTTGCTTTCAAAACAGACAAATGTGAATACGGTTTTTAACGTTCCTTGGTTGCAAGCTTGGAGAATCGCATAACTCTGGATGCAAACTGCTTCGAATCCTCTTGCCTTTTTATGTAAACCGACAGACTTGACGATGCCGAGATCAAGACACTGTAAGGAACTTCTTGTTGCTTTTGTTGCTGCAGTTTTTGCACAAAAACATATTTTTTCTCAAACGTTTGAACCACACCTCACACCTGCTTATGCAAAACAAATAAGTGAAAATTCGGCTTCCTGAAGAGACGCCTCGTTTTGCTATTATGCGACACCTTTTCATCTACGGGTAACACAGAATTTGTTGTCCTGCAGCAAACAGCTCCCCAAAGAGCTTTTCCAGCCATGTTTTTCTTTTTCCAAGAATGCTACCATGAGGGTGAAAAGAAATTTGATGATCACAGCGAGTACATTTCAACCAATAAAATCAGCAAAAAAGAGAGAAAAAGATCAATTCGACACATCTCGAATTGTGTGAAAAGCTGTTTATAAGGAGTGCATAGGCAGCACAAAGCTGTGTGCCAGCTGCAGCTCAGTGTAATAAAAGACGCTTCATCCATATTCCCAGGTCATATTATTTTTTAGTGCTAACTCAAAAACCCATGTAGTCAGAGGGAAAGAGGCAGAAAAACAAGTCGACACTGATGTAATATTCTCCCAGAAAGAATGATGACCTGATGTAACACTGGTGATAAAAAGTGTAAAGACTGCCCAAAGCTGCCATCACCAGCGGTCACAGAATGAAGGAGCTAAACACCCAGAGCTGTTCTGTTTTAAATGGTGCTAATCCAATTATCCTGGGGGTGACTGAAAGCCTAACGTGGCTGCAAATCTCCTCCCGTACTTGTGGAATTAGCAAACCCAACACTGCGCTATCTGTCACCATCCCCCTAAAATGATTACCCCGCCTCACACTATTTGAGCCATGCAGCCTCCGCTGCGCCATTGTGCCAGGCATTCCAGGAAAACATGGCAGCCATGTTGTGAACGGGGGCTGAGGGAGTAGTTTCAAGGCTGCTGAAAGCAAATGTACTTGTGAGGGATGGATGGATGGCGGTTGCTCATAATCCTGCCCATAACACTCTCCCTCAGGCGACGCAGAGAAAGGTATCACTCCACCTCCCCTCATATCCTCCCCCTCACCGGCAACCTCTCCACGGCCAGACGGAGTGAGAGTCCCAGACTTTTTTAATTATTCACCAGGTGAGGATGACTCACAGTGGCAGGGCAGCCTTGAGACTGAGGAAGAGGAGAAACTGAAGAGAAGAATCAGTGGAAAAAGTTGTGGATAGACATTCTGCTTGTAGAAAAAGGGTTTTGGGAGGATGATGATTGGGATCATATGGTCAGAGAAAAACCTAATTATACTTTCTAGGGTCATCTCCATACCTAACACTCGCCCCATATCCATTGTTGTGCTGCAGCTCATTCTATAGTGGCAAGCCAGCCAGGTCTTGTTTTATCAAAGCATCTCTAAACCATGACACTTCCACCTATGCTTCACTGTTGAGGTTCTTTTCCTTCATGTCAAACGTCATCTGTTAAAGTGTCTAAATAATTCAGTTCTACAATCATTTGTCAAAGGAACATTATCCAAAAATGTTCCTTAGCCCAACATGTTCATCACAGAGCGCAAAGGTGTCCTGCTTACATGCCATCTATGAAAGTTAAACTTTTACAGTCTCTTTCCGATTGTGTATGCAGTAACTTCCATGTCAGCAGTTGTAAGAGTCCTCTGAAGATACGTTTCAGGTGGGTTTGGGAAAGTTCTTTTTGCATCTTGCAGTCTGCTTTCCAGTGTGAACCTGCTTGGTCAAGTAAATCTGGGCATGTTGACCGTTATTTTGTAGATAAACATTGCAGATGTGAAACAAAAAAAAACAAAGAACGAGAAAGAGAAAAAGTAAAACTTCAACAATTTGTGTTTTTATCACCTTCAATATTGCTCAACTCCAACGCAATATTTAAAGTCTCAATGTGCTTGTGCAAACTCCCATTTTCAGAATATACTTTAATCTACAGATTAAAGCTTACTTTTGGAAAAGCTTACTTTTAGCAGCCCAGGTACTCCAAGCTTGTTATTTCAATCAAAAATAATCTTAGTAAATAAGTAATTTTTTGAGTGCAAAAGCTAGGCTTAAAAAAATGTGTATTAAATGTGTAATGTAGCAAGTACATGATTTGAATGTAAACCAGGGATCAATTTTAAAAAGCAGTGTTAATTTTCTGCCACAGTATTTGCAAATGGTCAAGAAAGTTTTACCTTACAGCACCATTTTCAACTTGGCTGACTTCTCTGTGCTGCTTGTTGCAAATGTGGATAGCTTGATAGGTTGTTTTATAGCTTAACTTAGCTTTAAAACCCTCCCTGTTTCATATGCCACATAAAATATCCAAGAAATACATTCAAGTCTGTGGTTGTAATGTGACAGAATATGGGAAAGCCAAAGAAGTATTAATCCGTTTTATGGTACTGCACAGAGGTGATGCTTGTTTGCAGGAGAGTTTTGTTAACTGTAAGGAAGTCAGTGCATCTTTCAATCCTCATTTCTTAAATGTATCATCTGTAACAGCACTCAGACGAGTTTCTCAGAGTTATAATTTACTCATCACTCTTGTCATGGAGTAACGAAGCCATCTGGAAGTGTAATTATTTTCATACATAAAAGCCCACAGTCAAAGTCAGACTTCCATCCATAAGCAAGAGGCAGCGAGACAACGATGGACAGAGGGAGAGAGCAATAAAACAAAAAAAAAAAAAAAAAAAAAAGAGTGAAAGTGCAGATAAATGAAGGAGAAAATGCGTGTGCAGTGTACAGTTATGCGAGGGAGTTTGCAGTGAATAGATAAGGTGGGCGATAAATCTTAGAGGTGGGCAGGCAGGAGCACAAGACAGTCCATTACAGTCTGACTCACTCTGCTCAATACAGCAGCACTGCTTGGCCTCCCCCCCACGGTGGCTGGCTTCAAAGGAAGATCGGACAAAATCAACCACAGAGACAGAGCAGCATCTGCCAGCCGGCTACCACCTGACCAGTGAATAACCTCCTCCCTACTAATCCATGTACGAGTCTGCATCAGTCAAATCGTTGGATATGATCTACAGAGCAATTATTTTATTTTAAGCTCTTCCAGCAAGAGTTTTGATTTGGATCTGCCAGCCGACAAAAGTCCAGAGAAGATCACAACATGATTCACTCTTTGGTAGCTTGACCAGCTTATGACAAATTTCACAGCAATCTGGACACTCGTTATCAGTGTGGCACCAGACTGCTGTATAGAAGAAGTAGCTTTATATTCAGCTTCTACATATAATAGCTTTATTTATTAACTTTCATATTTTCATATTTGTACAGTTTTGCAAAAGATTTCTTACTTCTTTTTTCACCTTTTTGTGATTCACTCACAATGTACAATGAGTTGTATTGGGATTTTATGATAAGCCAAAACAAAAGTGCCTTTTTTTTTCAAAAAGAAATCAAGTGCAATAAGTCATGTAATAAATCCACCAAGCTAAATTTTTTGGGGGGGAAGTGTGGAAAATCCATCAGTAATTCAGTGTGATGCAAAACAACATGTAAGTTGGTAAAATAACACCCTAAACACAACATCCCTACAGCAAAACATGGTGGTGGCAACATTAACTTACATAATAATGGAAAGATGAATGGTGCTAAATTCAGGGCAAACCTGGTAGAAAAACCTACAAACCTACACAAATGTAGGTCACAATTTTTAACTTTAAAAAAATAATGTTCTCATCACTTAGTGTTGGTCTACCACATAAAACCTCCCAAAAATACATTGATGTTTGTGGTTGTAAAGGGACAAAAAAGAAACATTAAGGTTGTACGTACTACATAAGCCAAGTTCACTGCTAAAAAAATAATAGTCAAGCTAACAGCATCTCTCAGTTTTTATCAGATGAAGTAAAAAGAAGCTGGTGAGATTTCCCACAGTGACAGATTGATCTTGTTAGCTTTACGATCTACCAGCTTTTTTTTCCCTCTTCTTTAAAAGACACTCATTGACAGATGCTGCCGTTTTTATTGATTAAAAGCAAATTAGTCTTCATAATTATAAAAGGCTTTAATTGTGGTAACTTTTCAGGCAAGTAAATTGCAGCTTTGATGCTCTGGTCACATAAATTAATATCTTTTTCTTGGCCAAAGCTCTACTTTACCTCTGCTGCTAATTTTAGATGTTTATTGATCAGTATGAGAGAGACAGCGGAAACAACACCACATCCTGCTGCTTTCACCTTAAGTCTGTGTACACTCAGCTGACAAACAAATCCATTATTATATACAATAGCCTCACCATGACCCATTTTCTTGCATTTTTCATCGCATCATAAATTGGGAATAAAGTAAAGTTCTCAACATGTACTTCAGGGGCTTTCATGCAGCCTTGCAAACCAAAAACTAAAACCCAGAACTGCCCTCTAGTGGCTACATTGATTAACAACCATGGCTGTGATCCTTGGTATGTGATACTATTTAGATGAGTAGAAGGAAGATAAACAGACCTTTACAGAACTACAAATAAATAAAACCTTAAGATATCCTGGAAGATCAGGTTAAGATGACAGCTATTTTTCTGTTCAAACAACTGTCTCTAACATGACAGTGTGTAACTTCAAGTTCTAAGCATGACCTTGAGTAAAAACCTTTTGTCGTCTCATTCTTCTTGGTGGGGGCAAAACATGGATTTTCGATTCACTCTCATGCCCCGTCTAGCTGTGCCTCTTCCTCTGTCTCTACCAGGAAGCCACAGGAGCAGAGCACTCAGGGAGGCTCTGACACTGATCTAAAGAGGCAGAAAGCATGCTGGGATGCAGTCGTTTGGCTTGTAAACACACTCGGCTGCCCCAAGAGTGGGGGTCAGTTAAAACAAGTGGTTTTGCAGAATCCGTCAAAGCTTTGGGAAAAAAAAGAAAAAGAAAAAAAGAGAGAAACGAGGGACTACCTCGTCCCCCTGAGTCCATTTCCATCCATTGCCCTACATTTTTCCACACTCCTTCACTCCACACTTCTCTGCAGACAGCTGCCCTCGAGCAGGGGAATCGCATCAAACCTCGGCTGAACGCTTTCTCGGGTGAGCAGGGTCTTAACAGGTGTTTGAAAAGACAAACAGATGCATATTTGTACTCGCTCGGGCGGCAGAGGGCATCCATGACGGCGCTCGTTACAACCCGACAGCGGAGGAGGAGGAAGAAGGGCAAGAGGACAGATAGTGTTGTGACATTTGGCTTTAAAAAAATAAAAAAAAAAAGGGAGGCGCTCGCTGTGCGTTAGAATTAAAACAGTGTGAAGTGAAGCGGACACAAGCTGTGGCTGTTGAGACAAATTTTAGTTTTGTAGTGACACAGCGTGACAAAAAGCTCTTTGTCTGCTCTCTCCCTCCTCTGCTTCTTCTTTTTTTTGCGCAGAAATAAGAAAGAAACTAAACAACAGCTGAACATAAAAAACCTGCAGAAAAAAACCTGCAGAAAAATAAATAATTTAATAAAAAAACCGAACCACCACATCTCTGGATTAATACCACACAGAAACATGCAAGACGCTCCCAACTGCATATCTACCGCCTCAGATTTCCTTTTGAATGCTAAGTAAGATTTGGTCGTCATACTGCTTCGCCTCGCACTCCTCAGATGCTTTTGAGTTGTGCTGCTTGTTCAGGATGGATTGAAAGGATCAGCGGAGAAGGCAACACAACAGGCTAATCACAAATCAATCTGAGACAAAGCAGCATTTTGTAATTAAAGAGAAAATACATTATGGCTGCAGGGCTCTTTATAGACAAAAAAAAAAAAAAAAAAAAAACAATCCTGGTATGCAGTCTGTCAGACACAGGTGGCCTATGATCGACACAGCTACAATAAAAAGAAAGTGCACCTTTCACCACTGTTCGGGTTTCAGGTATCGGGATGCATCATACATTATTATTTGGACTCGAAGCTTGTCTGAAGCAAGCTTCACCTCCAGAAAAAAATGCAGGACAGATTGGAACATGTTTGTTATTTTTTCAAGCCAAATACTTCCACTGTATTGTATTCATAAGATAGCAAGTCACAGGTGGTTTATCGAGGCCTCACAGAACACTTTATAAAAACTAAGAAACAGTTTCAGTGTGGTTACAGCAAAAATATAAGATCCCTTACTAACAGGGATCTTACTAACAAGATCCCTGTTAGTAAGCTACAAAAAATAGGATGCTTTAATAGCAGCTTTCAGCTCGCCTGCATTTCTGGTTCTGGTACCTGTTTTCTTGTCAGTTTGCTATAGATTCTCCATGATGTTTGCTGACCAATCAGCTGCAGTGATACAATGATGTTGGCAATTTTGTTTGTGTGGGCTGATACCAAGTCTTGCTGGAAAATGAAATCAGCATTTCATCAGCTCGTTAGAAGATAGAAGCTTGAAGCACTCTGAGATTTCCTGGTAGATTGCTTGCCTGACTTCGAACCACAACCAGCAGATGAAACTTTGGACCAATTGCAGATTGCCTCTCCAATCTCCCTTCACATTGTGGAACCTTAATTTTTTAAGCTTCCATCTGAAGGAAAAATAAAATGACTTCTTCCACTCAATGTTCCATTAATATGTTTGCATATATCACTCTGTGAGCAGGTGGCATATTTAGCAATGACCTTTTTTGATCATGACTGGAATAAGACGTATTCCTCAGAATTATGCAGGATATATACATATTCAAAAGTTACTGTTTTTGATTAAATTTTTTTTTTTATATTTTTCTGAGAATCTGTATAACAGTTAATGTGAAATACACCACCACACTGAATGACTCTATATGACAAAGCTGTTTCACTTGTTGAAATTGTTTCAATAAAATGTATTGAAACAATTTATTAAATGTATGTTTTGATGATATTGTAATGTGGCGAGATACACCTGAGAGTGTGTCTGAGTGTTTGCACTCACCTCTCAGGTCCTGCCCGGAGCGACCCGGCCCGCAGGTGGTGCTCTGCCTGGGCATGCGCAGTGAGGTGCGTAATGGAGTGTGCCTCTGATCATCCAGGTACGCCAGGTCCTCTAGGTGGGCTGAACTTGTAGCTGTCGTGGTGTGTGGGACGGGTACAGGAAAACAGCAGGATATATCAGAGGAGGAAAACAGAGAAGAAAAAAATACATACAAATGCCAGAATGCCAGTCAACAAACTCATAGTGTGCACACATACAAAAGAGGGTGGCAAAGGTTTCAGAGAAAGCGGTCCCAGGCTCAAACTCCTACAGGGAAGATGGAGCCGTCGCTTCAGCCCGCAAATTCCCTCCTCTCCGTGTCTGTCACGCAGCACGGAGGCAGATGCCATGCGGCCCCTCTCAGGATTAATTAGCTTAGCAGACAAATGTCTTATTTATGGAGCGGGCGCTGTCTGACGCCGGCTGATGATTGTTTCACACCAACACTGTGTCTCCGAGGCCGACACTCGGAACCGCTGAATGCTGAATGAGACCAGTGAACGTGAACAACCCGCCTCGTCGTCGCACCTGAGCTGCACGGTTCACTCAGAGGTGAGAATACACGAGACAGGAGCATTAACATGCTGGGAAAAGTCAGAGATGGAGATACACAGAGTTTGGAGCCAATGAGGCCAAACATGAATTTTAAAATGGATTAATATTCTATTTAAACATATTTCCTCTTCCAAACCATTCTTATTTCTTACATGTTTTTCTATGCAGAAACAAGTTTTAACATTTTGTAATATTAAAGCATCCTGAGTAAAAAGATTTATTACAATTATCATCACTAGTTATTGTTACTGTAAAAACTAGACTAGAACAACTGAGATACTAAGAATCCCTCACTCATTTGGAAAAGAAAAATGCAATAAATTCAACAAATGGAACAATATTTTCAAACAACTTTTAAATGTCTTGAAGTTACTTTAAAATTTGCCTGATCTTCTGACTGCTTTTGTATCTCACTTCTGTTACAGCAGTTATTAGGTTTGACTGCAGGAACATAAAAAAAAATGCAGAAAAATAAATACTTTTAACCATTAATTTACTCATTTTTAAATGTTGCATGATACCTGAGGTAGTTCCTCAATCCAGTCAATTGTAAGGGGGTGTCAGTGGGAATCCGTCTCTCACCTTCTCTTTTCGCAGGCACAGGAAGCTAAGGCATTGTGATTCTCCAAGAAGAAAGCCTTCCCTCACCTGAGACTCCACAACACTGATGCCTGTCCTGTCCTATGTCTAAAAAAACAGGCTTTACGTGTATAGCTTCGAAAAATACTGAGCACATCTGCTCAGTTGTACAAGTTTGTTGCTGGGTGTTTGAGTCACCCAAGTGGCAAACCTTAAAAAATGAGCCACATTTGTTTCTTAAATAGGAGGGAAAATGGCAGCTGGGAATGTTGTTGTTAAGAGGCTCAACTCCCTGATGGGAATAGAAAAGGGAGAAGAAGGAGGGGGGTTACTGGTCCCTCAACTGGGCTAAAAGCAGAACGTGTGGAGGCATTAATCTGAAGCTGAACCAAAGAAGAATGACTCAGGGCTTCAGGATTGGGAAGTCTTCCCCCCCCCTCTCTCTCCCTCTCTCTTTCAACTGTGTTTGAATGTGAGAACTGAAATCTGTGTGCTCATCATTCCTATCTGCAATGCAGCAGGCTGCTGGGGATCGCATTCACAGCCGCTGTGCCAATGCGCTAAGACGGCACACAGAGCGGAAAGAAATAAAGTGAAAAGAAAAGAGTGGAGTAGGGAGAAGAATAGAAGGTATGCATTAAAAATTGGACTGTAAGCTCAGTGCAATGATAGCTGCACTTCCTGCTTACAGGACAGACAGATAGCAAGAATGCATGCATGCACAAACACACACACTCAATCAAACAACAGCTGGGCTGTCGTCCAGCCCCGGTTACAGAATCAGCTGGCAGGACAAGGAGTTGTTTCATATAAAGGTTAGCAACTGGCACTTTAAGTGTCTCGCTCTTTTTTTATTTTTTATTTGATTGACAGGAATTTATCATCACACCTCAATGTGGATAATAGAGGTGCTGTAGTGCCTTCCTGCCTGGACTCGGAGAAAGTCTGGTGCAATAAAACATGACGTCCTTCCTGCCAAGTAATAATGTTTTATTTTTTCTAACAGGGAGTTAGATAAAAACCTATTTAAGTAACAGAGAGCACAGAGTTTCAAAAATGAACAATGTGTCTGAAATGGTTCATTGTGATGCTGTTGTACCTCAAGGCTGTGTATTCTTTCCTTAGACTATTCAGCTGCTATATCAACAGGATGTTTGAATGGCAAATACCTGATAAAATCAAGTGCTTCTAATTTGTTTCCATTTTAAATATATAAAGAAGGATAAACATTAAGACTCCCCAACTGACATCTTTATGTCAATTGGGGAGATGTCCCAATGGGGAGTGATTTTTGCAGGAGCCATCTTAAATCAGAAATTTACTCCTCCAAGTTTTAAACTACCCTAAGCTTTTCATACATAAGGGGAGTCAACTCCAGATAAGCTTAACTTGAGAACATCAGTATATTGTGTAGTGATTATTTAAAACAAAAAATCAAATTGTAATTAAGAAAACAATCTAAAATAGGTAGACATAAAATACATGTGGTGTCATAACTTAGAGTGAAAAAACAACTTTGAATTTCCTGAATTTCCTCTTTGTGGGACAATGACTGCTTCTTCTGTTCCGTTCACTATTATGTAGATTTTAAGGCGATGTTTAAGATGACCTATTTTCTTTTACTTAGAAAAGCTCACCAGGTACCTCAGAGCTTATGACGTGTAATGGGTGTTGCTGTTTTTGCTGCTACTCAATAACTGTCAGTTTTTTCTGCCTTTTAAAAAATGGCTGCTTAATCCTGTCATAAAACAGTGCAAATATGTAAAAACATGTTACTTTAAAACCCATTGTGCCATTTTTACACCGTCTCCTTTCTAAGATGATTCAGTAAGTTATTGAGAGAGTTCACTGATAGGTTTAGTGTAATAATCTACAGGATGGGATGTGGTTTCTACAAATGGTGGGGAGGATCACTACCACACAAACTGTGTGACATCTGTGTGTGTTTGGATGGTGCTGTTACAGGGTGGCAGGTCTGAGCAGCCCCCAGCCTCCACCTGGACAGTGCAACAGCATTCAAAGTTTCTTGGATGCTGAATTTTAACAGATTTCAGTTGACTGAGAGACATCCAACCCCTGTTAGTTGTACCCTGTCTGAATGGAGAAACTAACAAGACAAAGTCTTTATTCCAAATTTAAACACACGGGTTGAGCGAGAGGGCAAAAAAATTGTATTTACTTTTAGGGGGAGAGTTGTATCACACTGCGCTCCAGTCTGAGTTATCAGAAATTTAAACCACAGAAATTGTACGACAGAACACCGTTTCATTGTTTTGAAACATTTTAAACACGTCTTATCACCGGTGAGCAACCATGTGTAAAAATAGCACACCTTCCACTTCCAACAGAAGACATGAAAGATCTTGCTTCTTCATTTTTTTTTAATTTTTTTTTTTTAGCTTCAATCAAACTAGGGCACCCGAGTCTTGCTGCTTAAATATTGACAATTCCTTCTTCTAAAATCTCCCCCTTCATTTTCACAATTGTAGTCAACTCCTCTCTCAAATATGTTCTGGCAGCGCCATCGAGAGAGAAAGTACGATGAGCATACTTGGTCCTAGTTTCTGCTTCCTCCATATCCATCTTTCGGCTCTACCAACGCACATGCCTTCATTAGGTAATAGAGTAGCCCCCTCACTCCTCATTCCTCCCCAGTCGCCTTCTGCTCCAGCTTCGCTTTTCTCTCCCTCCCTTTCTGCACATCAAAGAGAGTCTCTCTGTCACTCTGGGGGATAGAAATGGTTAATGCCTGGGGCTTTGATGTTCCTCTGCTGGGTGAGCTGAGCCAATCCTCGGCCCGCGCTCGCCTCCCATCCCTACATCATCTAATAATTCTTTGTGGAGGAGAGACGGCAATGTGAGAAAGAAGAGATTATGAAACGCTCTTTCACTCCTCTTTCACGTATATCCATCTCTCTCTCATAAATATGGAGTTTCTGTCCCTCTGAAAAACACAAACGTCTTCTGAAAAATCATCATATCTTCCCCCGCCCCACCAAATTGCCTAACAACCTCATTTCTATTTGATTTTCTTATTTTATTTTCATCATCTGTAGCTGGCAGCGTGTATTTTAAAGCCGTTGCGGGCTAATTCGGTCTCATTTGAAGATGTGTGTTGGAGGGCAGAGATGAAAACGAAGATGAATCCTTTAACCAGAGGGTTGCTCTGCAAGAACGGCAGTGTCAAAGAGCAGAACATGAGCAGCATGCAGACGGGGTCACCGCTCCAGTGACACACCTGAAGAATGTACAAGTTTTCACACATACAGTGAAATCATGATTGCATTTAAGGGACAAAATGCCTTCTAAATTTGGCGCGATATGTGACAAAAAGTCTTTTGTTTTGGAAAGCCGAGATCAGTTTCTCTAGTCAACTAGAACTTGTCTGACAGCATGAAGTAGGATATAAGATCTCAAAAAGCAACACACTCCAGCAAACCACAGTAAGAGCCACAATCCACAAAGGCAGAGAACACTGAGTAGTGGAGAACCTTCCCACTGCTCAGTGGATGGGAGATACCAAAATCACTGCCAGAAAGCATCAACGACTCTTCAAGGAGATATCTAAGGTCCTGCAGGCGTCACTTGCCTTAGTAAAGATCAGAGTTCTGGACTTGACAATAGGAAATAGACATGGGGGGGGGAATGACATCTGCCAGTGACTTCAAAGGACATAAACATGGCTGACAAACAATAAAAAAAGCTCATCTCAAAAACAGCCTTATGATTCCCAACACTTTTGGGAAAATATTCATAATAATAAATGTTGAATTTTGGTGGTTTGAGGGTCATGAAATGATTTGCTGCTTTCCGTCTTGGAAAACTTGGTTAGTTGATGGAAACATGAACTCTCAGAAGAAAATCCTGAAGAATGCTCGGCTATCAATCGTTGACCTTCAGCTCAAGCTCACTGAAGCTATGCAGCAGAACAACATTTGGAGCGGCATAGTCAAAGTCTGAACACAAATCCCACCTAGATGCTGTAGCATGACCTTCGACCTAGCCACTCATGCTTGTAAGCATCTCTAATGTGGTGCAAGCTGTAGTTAAGCTTAAGTGGCAAATACTTTTTGCCCTCAATAAATTTGCATTTACCTAAGTCATGATTGGTCTGACATGAAAAATGGAAAAACAGAAAAACTCTGTAGGGGAGCAAATACTTTTCAACAGCCCTGTGTAAACAAACGCTTTTGTCCCAATGGGAGTGGGAAGAGTGCATATTAAAGCTCATCATCTGTAACTGAGTCTCTGCTGACGAGAACAATAAAACAATCAGACCCATTATGAGGGCTGCCTCCGCGTTATGAAACTAAAAGTTTTTTTTTTATTCTGATATGTTACTTTTGGGATTCTTTCACAGCAGCCAGAGAAAGAACCTCATATGAACGAGACCTTTAGCAAAACAAATGCCAGCTTTCTGCTATGTGATGTTCCTCCAGCCGCAGTATGTAATTCTGCAGAAGCAGTTTTCCCAGACAGTGTTATTCAGCTCTGTGGTTTCGATCTACACCAGAGGGCTGAGAGAGCTTAAACAGAATGTCACTGTGGATTTGCTGCTTCCCAGAATTTTCATCATCACTGTATAAATGCTAAACACAACAGCAGTTTTAAACTTCAAAGTTGAAAGAAAAGATGTTGAAAAACTACATAAACAAGCCACTAACTGGCTTTGGAGGAGACCCGGTTAGTTGTTTTACTTTGTAAATATCATATTTAATGGCTGAACATTCTGGCTTTGTACCTCAAACAATGAGTGACATTGTTGTAATTATTTGCACATCTCTATTCAGATCAAGCAGAGGAAAAATAATGGGATCATAAACCGAAACAACAATTACTACTTCGTTGCAGCTCTTCTGTACTGTCTGACAGCTTGAACTCTTTGAGGCAAAGAGTGTCTGCACAAATGAAAAACAAAACTCTTCATCAATCAGGTTCATACTAGGGCTGGGATGACTTGTTGGTGTAATTAATGACACTGACATTGATGTTTTTTAATCAACCCATCAATTTTTAAACCAAGTTTTATCCATTTCCCTCAAAGTTGCTTGGTGTGAGAAGAAGGCCTAAGATGAAGTCCGCAGCAGCACTGCGTATGGTAGCCACATTCGGGTCCAGTTATTGGTCCATTTCAAAACAAACACGAAGGCCAAATCAACCGCTTCTCTATTCAGCAGGGTAGGGTGAAAAGATTTTTCAAAAATTTAAGGGAGTATTTTAAGTGATAAAAAAACCCCAACAACTTGGATTTGGATGCTCTGTGAGCTTCAGTTGGGAACCACAGCAGCACAAGTACAATCCACAATGAGCTGCTGACAAAAACCAACATGATGAGGTGACACTAAACACAAAGCAACAGTAAGTTGCTGAAAATGAAACAAATGCCAGAATAGACTACAAGAATAGGAGGGTGTGAATATAGTACCATAGATTGAACAATGACAAAGAGATCAAAACTGGTTTTGGAGTGATCCAAATGATAAATGATCTCCAAAACACACTGACCTTAAAATTGTAGAAAACTTACGGCATATGCTTACAAGAAAAGCCAATAATAGAATAATAAAAAGTAAGTCTTCTGATTCAATCAGAACAAGACATGAAGCCTGATGGCATCATGGAATAGTCTGGCTGCATTTATATATTTGAGCTGGTATGTATATTTTTGGGTCTGCTTGGATACCAGAAGATCCACAAATTCAAACTTGTGAACCCATTTTCTCAAGTCACATGTGGAATCAGGATGAATACATGTGAACTTTTAGCTGAAGCTGTAAACACATTGAGATTTTAGGAAAACAGTCAGATCCAGAGCTCACTTAGTATGAGCCAAAAACATAAAATTACTTTAGATTACAAACTAAACTGCGGCCTCTCATCTTAATTATAGCAAAAATAGCGTTCTTAATATACAATTATTTTTTAAAAATTCACAAGCCAATCAGAGACAAGTTAGTGAGTAATTAACTTCAGACAATTTAAACTTTTAAAGCAATAAAAACACGTTTGACTGACAGTCTTAGTTTACAACATCTGCAGTGTTCGATAATCAAACGTAGACTCAGAGAGGCACATCAAAGAAATCCATCAATGCATTAATGATTCTTCTCACCAAACCCCTCCCACCCACCCAGAAACAAGCAGGGTTGAAAGGAAAGGAAGCACAGAAGGAGTCAACGAGAGGACAAGACGTGACTGAACAGCAGCACTTCAACACGATTTTTCTAGAACAAATAATTTGCTCTGGAGTGATGTGTACACTGCGTTTAATACTTGTGAATCACCGCTCAGAGAAACCTTTGCCACACACCCTTTGTTTGGTTTTTAAACAGAAGGAGAAAGGGGAAAAGGAAGGAGACTCACCGGCCACAGAATTGGGACGGGGCATGAGGTACAAAGGGATGGAGTGGGCAGAATGGGAGGACATGCTCTCCAGGTTGCGCTCAGGGATTTTATTCAGGCTGAAGGTGGAGGCGGTCATGTTTTCATCCAGCCTGTACAGGAACGAGTCCATGCCTGATTTCTGGGACTGCCACAGCTTCAGGTTCCCTCGCGAGCCCTCGCTGTATTTGCCGCCTCGCTCCATGTTCTCCGAGTAGCTCGTCAGAGTAGCTGGGGAAAAAAAAAACAACAACAAAAAAACAGACAGTGATCAAACATTTCAGGCCATTTCTCACACTTTCTTTACAAATCCGCTCCCCCATACGTCTGATTTCACATCTGTTTACTGTTGCTCTGCATCAATATTGTTGTGCCAGTGTGTGTGTTTTTTTCCATCTAAAACTGCAGGTGTTTGCCATAGTTGCCAGGAAACAATGATGGCACCTGTTCTGACATCTGAAAAGTGCCTCACATCGGTAGGCATTTCAGCTCTCCTGTTGTCTCTTAAATAATGCACAAAAGCTACAGTTGAAGTCAACATTGGGTACTTGAATTGGTTTCCAAAGGGAGAGGAAAACCAGGTACTTGTACTATACACCACATTCAACAATCCCAGCAGATGTGGTTTTTCTCTAAAGAGGAATGTTTCACATTTGCAGAGCAGATTGCGGTTTAGAAATTAAACATTGGATAATTTTGTTTTAAATCCAGCTTCAATGTGTTGTAATTATTTTTTTAAGAGACACAACTAGTACCAAAAGTATTCACTCATTTGCCTTTACACACATATGTGTATGTGACTTTGTGACTTTGCTATGGATCAGACTTTGCTTTTTTCATTAGTGGATGGTTGTTGGAACACAAAAGGTTAATCCCTTAACCATTCCCACAAAGTTAGGCACATGCAATTACATTATCACTGTATGTAACATATATATTACATAGCTTGGACCTGCAATATTTATTACAAAATTATTATAGTACTATACAGGCTAGCAACGCCTCAAAAATCTCAAAAACAGATGTAGGCAGATGCTGCTTTTTCAGTTAATCAATGTTGCTGAAATGGGAATAATACATTTTATTTTTCTCCAGCAGCTAGAAAGACTCCAGTGCAGCAGAGCATTAACACTATTTGCTAAAAAAAAAAACTTGCTTATTTATTGTAATATCATTATTTCCATGTTTTCCAATCTCATTGCATGTTTTCCTAATATTGAGTCGTCCTGCTCAAGCGTTAAAGAGTTCCTTTCATTGACAGGAGCTGAAGACAACTCCTGAAAACCATATTCCCTTGTGCATCAAACGTTACACTTGACCCAATAAAGAATGGCAAGCACCATTTTTCTAGCACTTGCTAAACCCAGAGTCTTGCATTAGATTTACAGCCACAAGGTCTGAATTTTCACTCCAAATAATGTAACACCATAGTTCTCAAGTCCAGTGCTGATGTGCTTTTCACCAATGCGTAGCAAGTTCTGACTTTCTGATCAGAGTGAAATTACTGCACAAATATTTATCTTGGGAGAGTCTATGTAAGCACGCTGGCAGATCTCACCGATAATCCCGCTGTCTCTGCTCTCCAGTGTTGAGGTGGGGCTGGTGACAGAACCGTAGGCACAGTCCTTGTTGCCGGCCTGGCCCGGCATGGCCGTGGGGAGGGTGGAGCAGGGGCTGCCTGCAGGCGGAGAGGCAGTGCTGCTGGTCAGGGTGGAGCAGGGGCTGATCCTCTGGTTCTGGCCCTGCCACAAACACACATTCACAGATTTTATTCAAGCTTTCTTCAGCTCCCCATCCCCACGCCCCCCCAAAAAACAAGTGTGAATGAATAAAAAAAGGGCAATGTTTGAACTTTTATTATCCGACTCATTCAGAAGGAAAAAGTCATTTCAACATTTCAGTTTTTAAAAGCTTTGCGGCCCTGCTGCTTTCACAATGTGAAGTCCAGCTTTCTTTGGATTGTTTCCCCAACATGTATGCAAACGCACGCTGTGTCACAACAGCAATAAATCTGCTGTATTTATCTTCAATCATAAATTAGCAATGGTCTGCCGTCAGACTCACCTTGAGTAAAAAAAGCACAATTTTACAGCATCGTTGTATTAACACTAAAAATAAACAAAAATAATGCATAACATAAACTTATAAAAAAAAGCTGTCAGTGCTTTCATTTGAAAAATGTTTTTAAGAAAGAAAAATTACAACCGCCCCACCCACCTCCCCAAAATAAAAGAAATCAACAAAAAGAGATAAACTGGCATGTTGTTGATTGAGGTTTTTCCACACTCATAATTTAGAAAATCAAAATCTCATAAATGCCAAAGCTTTTAAATCCGCTGACTTCTATTGTTAATGTAATTGTGTAATCATTATCCATCAGCTGCTTAGAAATTGTACAATTACAAAGACTGATCCCCTGAAACATTTTCAAGATCACACCCCCACTTAGAGTTTCTCTGCTTGTTAAGAAAGAGCGACTGAGACAGCTGGCACAGGCCAAATTCTGCTTTACAAGACAAAAACATTCAGAACAAACCTGTTGTGCATAATTAAAAGCAAATTGAAACCCCCCACAAACCACTGCATGAGACCTTCTGGAAGGCATCAGAGTTTGGAGTTGCAAAGAAGTGTGCAAACAAGCCTGATACATTTCTGTCAAAGGCTGAAGCAGCTGGCAGTGATAGCAGTGGTATGTTTGGAGTAAAATAGAGCAACATGTCAAGCAAAGAGCTCCATCTGATCAGCATGAGGAAGCAGAGGGAAGGATTTGTGATTGTATGTGCAGGCACAAGTCCTGCGCCGAAAAGAAATATCATTACAAAAGTGCACTGGTAAATAAGATGTTGAACTGAATATGGTTATTTTTAGCTTAATCTGCACTTAGTCTAGTGGTTGTAAACCAATTTTTTTTTGTCTTTCCAACCAATGAACACATGATCAGTTTGCACTGATGACGTATGTGGGGGAACTTCTAAGCGGAAAAGGTTGTTTACTCATTTCGTTGTCAGTGACTGAAGTCAAAGGAAGGCCAGAGATGCACAAAGCTTCTAGAAAAGAAACTGTACGTTCTGTGGAGGGATGTTGGCTATTTGTTCAGGCTGCTGCTTATAAAAGAGCATGACGTCAACAGATAACAGAAAGCTAAATATAATGCAGCGAAGGTGCTCTAGTTTATCATTTTCAAGTGTTACACTCTGTCGCTTAACGTGCTGGATTAGAAGATGCAGTCATCTTTTTCTATAGCTCACATTTAAGGTGAGGTTCCTCTTACTCTGAGAATAATACACACAGATTGATATTTACAGTGAATAAGCAAACTGTGCTAACAAAGCAAACTATGCTATTATTCTAAATCATTTACGTAAAATGCTAGACAGTTGAAAATGTCTACTGTATAGTAATTTTGTCTTTAAGAAAAAAAGTCATTCTTTCAATCTGCGAAGCTGTGGTTCACCGATTCTCTCAGAATTTCTTGTGTTTGAACAATATCTCAGTCCAGTAATATGGAGAATTTTACTGCGTTTAATCATTTCCAATAATGAAGAGAGGGACAGCTCTGTAACTCTGGGTTGTTTTGGGGGGGAAATCAGTGATTTACTTGACTATACTGCTTACTGTAAGAAAAGTCCAAGTTCAATCAAAACAGTATAAAATATGTTGACTCTTTTTCAGGAAAAAGATGCAAATAAAAAAGAACATATGAATATCACTGTGTTTTAACTTTTCAAAAAAGAAAGAAAAACATATTTTGATTCTAAAAACTGTTGGTATAGAAGTCTAAACAATATGTCATAAGTTTATGTTTCCAGTAGTTCATAGTCACTTCACTGACATGCTGAAGAGACTGAAGTTTTTCCTACATTTAAGGAGCATGAACTCATCCCCACCTATTGCTGCCCACTGACAATCGTTTTGGTGACAGTCTCCTAAGCTTTTCCCTTGCTTACAAGGCAGCTTCGCTCAGCTGCTTGCATACATTTCTAAATTGTCATGGTGCTAAGCTAACCTGTAACATGTCTGTAAAGCAGCTGACTAAACCTTTACTAAATTTAGAGGATGTTCATTCCAGATTTTTTGTTTATGATGAAATGAGCCAGCCAACGGTAAATCTGAGCAAGACCTGTGAAGCAAATACATTTCAGTATATTTTTTGAGTTCAAGATGGCCAAACTTAAATAGGCATAAAATGATGTCTTTCACAAAGAAAACATTTCTGTATTTTCTTTGCGAAAATACAGAAATACTATAAATTTGCAGCGTTTATACACAAAGGTATCATGCAATAAAATGATCAAATCATGGCCTTGATTAGATGACAATCAGATTTTCTTCTGGTATTTGCTTTCTTTTGGCACCCTTCAGGGACCTTATTCTATGTCAACTCAGGTTAGGAGACAAGTAACCACAGGGGACAAAAATAAAACAACACTCTGTTGCATCTAATATGCTGCCGTAAACACCCACTGATTCAATCGTACTCAAAAACACACAGTCGCCCCAACTCAAAAGACGCAAACATGCACCTTCCACAGAAACGCCAGGACGCTGTGAGAGATAAAGTGGCTATATTTGACTGCAACAAAAACCACTCGGAGGTCTCTCCTTATCTGAGCTACTGATGAGATCAGATCAAGAGTGGGATGAACACAACAAGTCCTGGTTGGGGGCGGAGAAGTGATGCTCAAGGCAAATCTTAGTCTAGATTAATTTGTCAGAGGAAGACTGAAGGATCCCAGAAGTCAATTTGTATTGGTGCCGAAAGTCGTTATTTCCTAGACATTTACTTGCATTGATTCATGTGTCAATTACGGGTTGACGGCCTCTCGAGGCTTTGGAGAGGAGATAGACAGTCAATTAATCTCCAGGTTGGATTCATTCATCTCCATGTGAAGGTGTCCTTCAAAGAGAGACAATAAACCCCACTATTCTACAAACAGAAAGCCACTCCCACCAGAGCATGAGAATGAGGGGGCAAGGAATATTTACATGCTCAGTGAATAAATGTAGGCATACTTTTTGGATTTTTATTTGTGAAAAGTGTGGTTATTTTTGCATTCAGCTCCCTTTGTACTATGAGTTGGTCGCATTGGATTTATTTACCACAATGCAAATGATTAAATTGCATAACCAACTCTGATGTTTAGGTGGCTAAGAAAATCCAAATCTTACCTATTCAGTTTAAAAAACGGCCAAAACTTCTTATAAACAAATGGGAGTTTTGTGAAGTCAAGGTTTCTACATATTTTTCATTTCATTAAAATAATAAAATTTCTAGACTTGAAATGGAAGATTTATATATAATTTCTTGGATCTGTTATAAATGTAGACATATAAATAAGAGATGCACCAATCAATCGTCCCCAAGACCTTTGATGAGCTCTAATCAAATACTGACAAATCTTTTCTTTTTTTTCCTTCACAAATATTACATGCAGCAAAACTGAGAACTCCCACAGTATGTAGCTTGATGGCATTTTGAGTTCAATGAAAATTTGATCACAGTTCAGGGCATGTATTTTATTGCATAAATGTGGATGCTCTTGTTATCTTTTCATTTTCTGTTTTCATCATCACTTATAGTGGAACAGAAATTAACCTTTAAGTGTTCTTGTGCTTCTCTGAGACCAACTTAAAATAATGAACCCAGCAATAACTTATCAAACCTTGCTTCCTTAAATTCTGCAATATCTTCACTGTAGTGGCTGCCTCAAGTGTAGTAAAACTTCACACAGAGAAACATGGGAAGCCTCAAACTTGCACCAACTATAGCAGGCTATTGACCCCCAAACTTGTGAGGGTCTGACCTTAAATGTCTCATGAGCATTGGACAATACTTGTAACACGATATCTACTCAGGGAACGAGAGCACAAGAATATGAAAGGCAATTAACTGAACCCTCTGCATGTTAAGGTCACCTTGTTTTGCCAGATGGTGAGGCATCGCAGGCCTCAACTTTTGCACGTTTATTCCTGAATTCCCTTTAAGCTACAGGACGGTTTGTATGTCTGTTAACTACAGTTTTTTTCCACAAAATGGTACAGAGTTGCAAACACACAACATGACGCATTAAAATTTTACACAGCAATGTGCTAAGATACGCAGCAAACATTTGTGATACGAATATCTTTTTTTTTTTAATATTGAAACCATTTCCAGGAACAAATAACAAAACTGAAGGTGTTATAAAGTTTTATTTTAGATACTGGTTGCTTGTTTATTCATTTTAAACAGAAACGGTGCACCTGACCAACCTTGCTTTAAAGTCAGTGGATAAGCTTACCGTAGGATAATGACCCTACATATAGAGCCAGAGCCAGAAGGGAAAGGTTGAGATAGAAGAACATGAATGTGTTCAAAAGGCTGAGGCAAAATCTAGGAGGAACTCTAATTGATCCCCAATTTGTCTGAGCCTGACCTATTTTTTTACCTCTTTGCAAGAAATTGTCAGCAATGAGTTGATGACCACAATGACAACAATTCAGTTTCTGCAATAGATTTTTGATAAGATGCGTCCCCTTTTAACTGAATAGAAACATGTTGCAAGAGATGTCTAATAGTCTAATTGATGTCTCTGCTTATATTTGAAAATGACCTTAAACTAGAAACATTCCCCTTGAAAAGGAGAGCTTATTGACTAAAGAGTGAAAAACCAGTCAGACTCAGGAAAACACCATTAGAAAGCATAAAAAATGTAAACATTACTTTAAAGAAGAAATGTAAACAACTAAGGATTGACTCTTCACTTTTGCATTATAATCTTTGCCATCAGTTTAAAATGTATAAAACTTGGCCTTTATATGTTTTAAGCTATATCCAATCTTCTCATTTTTGTTGCCAATTAAATTTATCATAATAATCCAGAAAACAGTATTTGGGGCAGACATCTACAACAATAAGTTTGTGCCGTGTGCACGATGCAGCGAAGAGCTGATATGAGTCACATCTCTAAAACGAGCCGCTCGAATGAACCTCTCTCAATTTCTACACCCCCACTGGTCTGACAGTGCTTACATCGAGCACAGGCGGTCCATCAGCCTAATCGCTTATTCACACTGTTTTAGTGCAAACCCATACATACGCCTGCATAACACACTTCAGCAACAGGTTAGCCGCCCCCTCCTTTTTTCCCTCCTCCCCATTTCACCTCCTCTGTGTCTCTCAGCTGCAACCGTTTTCCTCCCACAGTCTGCGAACAATTCATTCCTGTCAAATCAGGTTTAAATAGAGAAACCGGGACATCTGCAGCCGCCCCACTGTGCCAGGAGATGTTTGTTGCACAACTGTCAAATTCATAAGCAGAAAGGTGACGGCCATGAGGCACTTAACATGAGGTGCATCAACCGAGGATACCTGCTGCTATTGAACAATGTTAAACCAAGAAATTATAGTTGCATATTTTCTCTAACAGTAATATAATTTTGGTTAGAGATGCATACAGGCTAATTATTTTGCTACGAGGTGCAGCAAAACCTTTTGTAGCTATCGACACGCTCCTGGTATAATTTGGGATTGGGTATCAAGATCCTTCTTATTTTTAGAACTGGTATACTCATTTTAAATTGGTTGGTGTCCTGACACATATCAGCCTCCGGCATCATCAACACATTTTTAATAACATATGAGGTTAGGGCTTTCAGCAGGTCAATGTATAATCCATCCCTACCAATGTATTTTTTGGACCACACTCCTGTTGGAACACCAACGTTTCAACCATATGGTTGTCAGTTTGTGATGATATTCAAGATTATATACCCACTTTGTACTATGTCACTTCCAGTGAAGCCTTTACAAATCATCATTTTGATTGACAATCTGTATCCCAACTTCTCTTCTTCAAGTATACTTCTTGTCATTTTGACCAAGTAGCTCAGTGTTTGTCTTCACCAACTAGAAAATTTATGGTTTGTTCACACCAGCAGCTGGGAATTTAAGTCAAACATGGGGTGGTTGATTTTGGAGCAGGATCTACTTTCTCTGAGTCAATATTGATGTATAATTAGTTTTACTGCTGGCAGTGACAGTGGTGTTCCATCAGGTTGTGGTTCATGGCAGGTTTGGGCCTCGTTGGTTCTCGAGTTGTTTCTAAATGTCCCCACATCATTTCTCTCTTTCATCTGAGAGATGTAACTTGGTGGCTCTTCCAGATGTTGGCAAAGTAGAAGCACATCTGATGATTAAATATTACAGCTATTTAGAAATGCCTCCAAAAGACTTTCCCAATAATTATAGACACTCAATTATTCAGTTGAAATGTCCACTGAGTTATTTGAACCTTCCCATCATTCTGAGCTTTAGTCCACTCAGATGTGGTCAAATATAATAATGTTTTGCCTGACCATATAACATTTCTTAGGAAGGCATGTGTCTGAAAATCTCTGTCATGCTTGAAGTAGTTGATTTTGGGGCAGATGGTTCTTTTTCGGATGATATCCAAGTTCATGATGATTTAAAACTTGCTTCATGGTGAAGAACAACACTGTTCCAAAAAGTCCCCATTTTATGATGGCCTTCAGCCTTGTTGGTTCCTGGATTCTTGTTGGATATTTTAATCTTTGATCAAATTTGGGGCTTCTGACTGGACAATTAGCCCAAACACCAATCAAAACTGATTTTGGAATAAAGAAAGCAGCTAAAGATCAAGCATCTGGAATGATAAACCTGCATTTATGGGGTAAATTCAATAAAATCTATCCCATAAATTTTATTGAAAATGTATGGGATAAGTTTGAAATTCAGGTCAGTCTCCTGGAAACAAACAATTTTAATTAAATGAACTCTGCCGTTTCTGATAGTAAGATGGGTCAGGTATCCAGCTAGATTCAAATTAGAAGCATGCTTATCATTACGAGTGGTTTCTCTGCAATACTAAAAATATTCTATCAAACTTCAGTGAGGTTTTATTTATACATTTCAACCTGAATGTATAACTTTGATAAGAGGAAACAATACTAAATTCAAATCTGTGGGTGTCTTAAATCTATTAATGCCTATAAAAGGATAAGTCCATCTGAAAATAGTTTAAATGCTTCATTAAGAGGCCAAAATCAATGTGGAAATCATGCCGGTGATGTTTGAATGCTAGCATCTCCCCGACACTGTAGTAAATATGGATGTGTTAACAGTCAAAGATGTGCAAGAACTAAACAAAAAGGAAAACAGCAATGAAAATAAATGTCAAAAGAGATTGATTTAGACATTCAGCGTTTCCACAAGCACCTGAACACAACGTCTCATAAAAGGCAGTGAATGAAATATAAACACCACAACGCTTTTAGCTTTGACCTGTAAAGTATGAAAAACATTTAATCTAAAACAAATCTGTGGTGACTTAACAGCTCAAGACAATACTCTTTCCACCGCAAACAATGAATGTAACACTAGCACACAAAAACACCTGCATGGGAAAGAGATGATAAGGACATCTGATCACCGCTAAGACATTTTAGGGGAGTGTTTTATTTGAACAGAATTGACAAGTCTCCGTTGTTCAATGAGGAGGGCAAAGAAATGCAATGCTCTTAGCTATGCATTCTAATTAGCTTTAAAGACACTTTGAAAACAGAGGCCATTTGATAAAATAAATCAGAAATGCTGTCTGTCATGTCTTTGATGTCCTGGTTTTAGAGGAAGCTTTTAAAAATAGCAGCAGTCACTATGCCTTCTGTGTGCAAGATAAGTAGAATACAGAGACAGAAACATGTTGGTACATTATAAGGTGTACATTTAAACAATGTTTCAGCTAATTGATTCCAAGCAATGCGCCAACTTCAACAATGCATTTCACCTGAAAATGTTACAAGAAAATTTTTTTTTCCAAGTTTACTCGAAAGAGGCAAGAAAGAGTAGTAATCGTCAAGTCGTACCAACTCTGGCTCAATTAAATGCTCAGCTTCACCACTCCAAATGTGGAGGTGTCCTTGGGCAAGGCACTGTCCATCTGAATGAACCACTTTGACTCTGATCTGTTCCTCACAGTCACCTCAAACAACACAAGTCTTTGAATGTGGCTGCATTGAGACAAAATCTGAAATTGGTACTCACAAGACAAGTTTTCACATTCTGCTTTCCCGGCCATCCTACCTCCGTGTTTACACACTAATCATATTGACTCTGCAGTAATTACTTCCTGGGATAGACACATTGTGTATTTAAATGCAGTTTGTAACAGCACATCCAACCCTAGGTGCAGTTTGGAGGAGGGTGTGCTCTTCACCTGCTAGAAACCTAATGGATATCATTTTCTATGTGCAAAGAACTTGAATGTGGTGCGGTACATGCTGGAGATGAATATCCAACAATGTAATGGGGCGATAAATTTGATTAGTGTCAAAAAATAGCGAGCTTTGACACATGGGGCAGCTGTGGTCCGAAGAGATATCCTTTGGCCAGACTGTCATTGAGTATGAACCTACAGAAGTCTTTGACTGTGCTGGGATCATGGTAAAATTCCAAAATCTCTATTGAGAAGACACTTGCAGTACTTTGTCAAAAAGGTTTGTTCCATGCTACTTTCTCCTCAGAAAAATAAAAAACCCATCCATTTTTTCACTGATGATTGTCAGTCATACTGAGACCAAGTCAAATTATTTGAAAATTATACATAATGTCCGCCACTACTCTTTTTTACTTCAACTCGACTTCCTCCTCAATGCTACACTCGTGATGCTACGTATTTATCAGAATATTATCAAGATTGCGCCTGTCACCTCGATTACACTCTTTTTTCCTTCCAGCCAACTTTCTATTGATATGCTTGGATACAGCACTCTGTGAATAGCCTCCTTCTCTAGCAACGATTTTTACTGGCCTATCCTCCCTGCAGGGATATTTAAAAACTAACAATAGCTAATACAAAACATCGCCCAATATTTTATACATTTATAAATCTGGACACTATTTGATACAAATTGCTGAAGTGAATATACTTTTCGATTATGTTTAATTTATTGAGATTTTGATAAAAAGGAAGATAAAAGCTCTTTAATCTAAGCTAACTATACACATCTTCTCTTAACAGAAAACCATTGCCCCACAGTCAGCCTATCTCAGTAGATTTGAATAAAGGAGAAAAGGTACCTGTCTCGCCTCGGGTTCCTCCATGCTGTACTGTGTACCAGCTGGCCCCTCACTCACTTTGTCTCCCAGAAGGAAACCCAGCCGCGTCATCAATGTGTTGGCTGCCTCATCCACCGACGGAGGGGGCCCCAGCTCATGGCTTGACTCCCCTGCAGACGTAGATAGACAAAAAGAGGAGGAGGAGGAGGAATGTTAGAAAACAGAAAAATACAAGTGATGAGCAAAAATAAGGGGACAGTTCGTTTCACCATAACGCAAAGCTTTTAGTTTCATGTCTGTCTGATGTAAACAAATGAACACAAAATGTATCCGCTACAGCCGTCCTCCATGAAACACAGCAGACAGAGGATACGCAGCACCTGCACTCAGACAAACAAATGAAACACCCCGTCGCACCTGAGTTTTCCTTGTAGCTAAGAGCGGCGCATTACAAACACATTCCTCAAAACAAATGGACGCCTTGGCTTGGACGATCCACTTACATAAACTCCAAAAATCCCTTCAGCCACAACAAGGATTGTTTCCAGCTGTACTGAAAGGCCTTCTTTTCACGCTGAATGGCGAAAACTCCTCTGAACTGACGACAACCGCTTCCGCACCACTCATTGCCACTGCAGCGTGAGTGACGCAATGAGAAACACCCTTTACCTGAGAGCGAGTGCAAGTGAGAGAGGGAGACGGAGAGGCGTTCCTAACCAAAGTGGGTGTGTACGCACGCTCACACATCTCCGTCCTATTTATGGAGCCTGGAATAGCGCTAAGCAAAGCAAAGCAAAGAAAAACTGTTTGTTGAGCCCGCATGATGGTAAATCCACCTACAAACATTCAGAGCCCCGGGGGGGATGAGGGGGATGTTACCAGCTTTTAACCAAAGCAAAAATCTCTCAATGACCTCATCTTGTCACCTGGTTGCCTGGTTACTCTTCAACCATAACAAACCCTCATTGGTGGGATCATGTTCTTCAGTAACACCTGGCTAACGTGCCTGAAGGAGCCAACTAGATCAACTTCAGTTCAATTCAACGCCAGTGTCACTTTCAGGCGAGTGTCACTTTCAGGCGAGGAGGTTTTGTTAATTACCTTCCTGCTCAGGAGAAAAAGTAACTATTGGCCAGTAATTCGATCTATGAAACTCTGAATTGGTTCAGACATTAATGGCATTTAAGCCAACAGCTCTGGGTGACCAGTGTTTAAATAAACAGCAGTTGAGACAAAGACAGCTTAGTGGCAGGACCAGTTTTTTTTTTTTTTTAAAGCCTTTTCACCATACAGCAGGTCGAACCGGACAGACAGGTCGCCAGATTAGACTCTAACTGACAACTGTTAGACGATCCAAGCCACCAAAGCACCTCTTTGAAGGCAGACGGCTCCCCTGAAGCCTGCGGTCTCTCAGTCATCAGCTCAAAGACACATAGTCAGGCAGGCAATCTAAAGCCTGGGCTCCCCTGTCCATTCCCTTATGGACAGCAGCCTCATTAGATTGACTCTGAGGCCCTCTGAGCGAGTAAGTAAGCGAGGCAGACACCTTCTGAGGGAGGAAAAAAAAAACCCTCCTTTGAATCAAATGGGAATGACACGCTGCAGAGCTTCAATAAAAACACACAGCAGCATTGAATAATGAGGTAATCACAGCACACATTAGGTACAAAATAGGCTAATCACATATGAGCTTTGATGCTGTTTAGCTATGTACAGGGATACAGGCTGTAATACTAGCAGGACAAAACACTGACGTTAAGGAAGTTAATGAAAGGATTTTGTTTGAGTTTTATTTTTTTACTCAGTCTATAAAAGCTGGCAGAGAGTCTGTAAAGTCAAGGGAGCTTTTTAAATGGTGTATATGAATCACAAATATTAAAACAGACTGTAATATATGAGCTCTGTATCTTTCAATGATTTTATCTGCTAAATTATCACCATATGGCTAAAATATAGAAGAGGGCATAAACACTTACAAAGATTAATGAAGCAGAAGCTCACCGGTGTTTGACACCTAATTCTATTTTTACTTCCTCTGCAGCTGTTGTGCTTGCTGGTGAATAAACAGGAACAACAATTTGATTCATTCATCAACTTCCTGTGTTTTGTGAATTGTACAAACAATAGACCTACAAACAATCCTACAAGTTTGAATAAACATTTTTAATTTATACTAAAGACACAAAAGGGAAAGCGGTTAAGTAAAAAAAAACACCCCTGATTTGGGGATACATTCAGTCTAGAAAATATCTTACAGTAGCTTTTTCCAGAGCAAGTACAGCTTTATTTGGTAAATTGCAATATTATTGAAGAATTCATTTATTTCAGTAACTCAGTTCACTAAATTAAACATGATATACAATAACTACACACAGGCAGATGTTTTCATTCCCTTACTGCTGTTAGTGATGAGGGTTTTCACATTACAGCTGATGTTAAATGTTAACATCGTTAATTTTAACAGGGATTTTTGTTGTTCAATGTCAGGAGTTTGTTTTTAAAAATAAAGGACCTACATAACATTGAGCTTCACTTTGTAGCCTTTTGCAAGTTAGCTGTAGTTAGGAATATTTTCTGGTCTCAGAGCAAAATTATTACAAAGCTCAGTGTTTATGAGGTTTAAAATGAATAACTCTTTGGAGAAACACCCAGGACTGTCATGTTTAAACGTGTATGTTTTGCTCTCCTCGAGTTGCGTGCTCCACCTTGCACACACACACACACACACCCACACGCAAACACACACACACACTACTGTAATGTACAAACCATTCATACACTTGTTCTTGTTTGCTTTCCACTCGATGGATGCTCAGAGACTCACTAAACAAACATGGTGAAACCTGATTATAGAAAATCTTGATTAAACTTTACAGCAAGTAATTTCAATATAATGCCAGTAATAAGATTGAATTAACATGTTGTGGAAAATAAGTGAACTTAGCTTAGTGCAGCGTAGCATGCTAAAGTGGTTCTCCTCTCTGAGGTAATGCTTTTGCAGTAAGCAAACATGAGCAAACACTGGTCTAAGAAAACTATAACAGCATAGAAAAGACGGCCGCAGACTGCCACATTTATGTACTCCTCTAGTATTTTGAATGCGTAACTTTCTCTGAGAGTGAAAATGTATTTCTTAAGGATAAGAGCTAAGAAACTAATAACAATAATGATAATAATATTGAGCCACATAATATGTCTCCATCATGTCATATGGCTGCACACCTAAATCCACTAATGCACTTTTCATTAGAAACAAAACGGCAACATTCTGAGCAAAGGTCTTTTTTTTTTTTTTCAAATTTAATGACAAACAAAACAAATGGCTAAATAAAGTGAATGGTACTGACCAACAGCCACATTGAGCTTCAAACAATATGTCTGCAAAAGAAAAAGGCCAACTGTCTGACCTCTGCTGTCGAATGAGCAGTGATCAGGCAAGCTTGTGATGCTAAAACAATCTGAACAAGAGTTGTACTCTTACTAAAGAATTAACCTATAGATTATATTTTATTTATTTCTAATGTATTAATATATATATATATATATATATATATATAATATATATATATATATATATATATATATATATATATATATATATATATATATATATATATATATATATATTTCTAATATAACCAAAGGTAACACGAAAAGGTGATGCAGATGTTAAAAAAGAAACTTATATAATTTGTTTCAAAATCAAAACATAGATTAAAGAAAACAACCCAAAAACACAAATAACATTAAAGGCATTACGATGAAAAAATGTCCTGGAACAAAGAAAAACTATCTTGGAATAAGAGACTGAAAAGAGTAAAATAACATAAAACAATCCCTAAATTGCAAAAATAACAGATATTTAAAAAAAAGAGCTTTTTTTCCCCCAAATAACATCAACTGCATTTAATCTCTTTTTAGGAGATTTAACTATTCTCGATGGTGCAATACTAATATACTTGTACATTTTTAATGCAATAGCTGCTGCAGACCTATTGTATGTTCAGTGTCTGCACATAGGCAGTGATGGCTTTCCAGTTGACAGACTGCAAGTAGTGAGGACTGAATACATTAGCAGTGATTAGTCAACAGCTCCTGGGGGGCTTGTGGCTCTGAGCGAGATCAAACAGCAGCTCTGTCCGACTTCTCCACCTCTATAGGTGCACCGCATGCCTGCCACTCAGCCTATGTTGCAGACTTTCTGCCTTTCGCTTCATTTACTTCTCTTCCCGCTAAAGTTCCTGTTTTCTTATCACAGCAGTTCCGTTGCAGCCAGCTGTTGGCCGACTCCTTGTCTATGTGCCGTTTGATAATGGGAGTGAAATCTCTAATCTGGGTGTCTGAGCTCACAGCAACTCCCAGTAAGACAAACACAGGCAATCCCTCTGTACGTACTCTAAAATACCAGCAGCAAACATATGTCAAGACCCAGTTTTTTCCACAAACACTGAGCCTGACTACAAACGAAAAAACAAAACAAAACCAAAAAAAAAAAACAAACATGTTGCACACATGTCACACAGCCTACTTCAAACTAATACAAATGAGCTACTTTCAACAGCGATTCATTACCATAATGTAGGGGTTGTATGTTGATTTCTTTCTATTTCCAGTGCCTATGTTTTGCTCTTTAAATACCGATTGCAATTACATGAACTGCCTCTTACTGAATCCTGTGACAACAAGCATCTATACCACTTCAAAGCGCGTCAACAGCGCCTTGGAATGGAACAGGCATCTAAAAAAAGAAAAATATTCAGACGTTTCTCATCAGAGACGAATGACAAGAAATGCAAAGCAGAAAATAAACATTCATTAAACATAAAACAGATATATTTTTTTTAACCAGCCCACCTAACATACACACACTCGTCTCCTCTCTATCGGATTCCAGAGCTGCGAAAGAGACAGATGGTTGCCATAGCAACTATCTTTGCACGCAGCTAGGAATGCATTTCAGTGCAAGAGCGCATCTGTTTCTGTCCGGCCGTGCACAGATCTGGCGCGCCCCCTTCCCCATCGTACGGAGAAAAGCCAGAGAGAAGCATGTGTGCTGCAGGCGGGGGGACTGGACAGGACAGGAGAGAGTATTAATAGGCCCAGGTAGCAGGTGGGCAAGAAAAAAGAAGAAAGACAGAAAAAAAAAAATGGCGGCTCTTATTTAATCTAAATTCTTGAGCTATATGTTTTACTTCACTTAGATGTAAAAAAAAAATCTTCCAGGGTGAATAGAACTCAAGAAATGCAGAAATAAAAGGTAAAAATAAAGAACAAAACCCCACACAAGCACAGATTCCTCACAACCAGGTGATGGAAGAGAGAGCATGAGATCAGATGAGGCAAATTCACATTCCTGCTGAGCGTATTTCAGATCTTATCTGTGCAACAGCACTTCAGGTGTTTTAGAAATAAAAGCACAGAAGCAATCAGCAGCCAGGGCTTTAAGCGAGATTAGGCTTTAATCTTTACACTATTTTGGACAAAGTTACAAATCAATAAGCAAAGTGTTGCAGACCTATTGTATGTTCAGACAACAAAGTTTTAGAGTTTTCATTCATACTGAAGAAAGTATTTGTTTCTTCAAGAAAAGCTGCTTTGCTTTCCTAGTGGGCTGTGTAAAATACATCTTCATAGCTGTTTAAAATTTTAATATTTAATTTTAAGAATCATATAAAAGGTGCATTTGTTAAAGTGCCATGTATTGTACATAATCTTAGCTCTGACATTTTTAAAAGACAGTTGGAATTTTCAAAACCAGCATAACCAACATCAGGCGAAACAGAGGAACTTTCTTGAACTGCTTTCAGCCTTCCAGTTTTATGTTTGAAGTTTTACTTCACTGCAGTCATAGATATGTTTGGACATGTTGTTGTAGAAAACTGTTCTCTTTTAATTAGCTCTGTGCTCTAACTTATTACTTCATGTAACACTTCAAATATCTTGTAAATAGCTTAGTCTAAGGATTTTTCCACTACCCATAATAGGATGTTGTCAACATGACACCACATTCAAGTGATTGAATGTAGTGCAGTCAAGGACAGAAAAAAGATAGGATTTGGTGGATCTCTATCAAATGGAGAAAATAATTCCTCCAACTCAAAAGTGCAGACAAATACATTGTCCACATCTACTGGACATCTCTACCTGAGATTATTTAATTAATTTAGGAATTTCTTCACCTTAAGAGTGCAATATCAAAAATGCAAAAGTTAAGTTTGTCTCTTGATAAATGATGTTCATATGTGACATCATTTGCAGAAATCTTAATCTACAGTATTATTGTGAGTGATGGGTCTAAAGATGAATGCCGAAAGCTCAACCCCTGCACCTATACTAAAGACTTTAAGCAGGCAACAATTGGATACATTAGCACTGAAGAAGCCTCCATAAATGTTCAGTCATTTTAGATTTTCAGTGGACAAAAGAACCCATAGCAGAATGAAAATGAAGATATCAACCAATCACATGCACTGCAAGACTACATTAACCCTTAGCTGCAATAACGCTGACATTTTACAGTGGCTTGAGAGTTTCCAGTTAATCTTATCAAATTTTATGTCTCTACACATGGAACCCTGCAGCTGGTTATGATGCCGAAATGGAGTTGTTCCTTTCCACTGTCACCACATCACTCAAGAAGCAGATCAGAATGTAGACAGACTTTTTAGCCATTGGTACTTTTTGATAGTTTATTGTCCACTGCATTGCTATATATAATCAGTGGCCACTTAATTAGGTACATCTGTTGAATTGCTTGCTTGCATAAGTAGTGAGTCAGTCCCTCACAATGCAGCATTTATATAGATGCATTTAGGCATCAATATAGAAGTGGGGAATGCAAACTGCAGAAGCTCAAACCATAAAGTGGAAGAAAGTGGCTATAAGTGACTTTAAACTTGACATGGCTGTTGGTGCCAGAGAGATTCAGAAACTGCTCGTCTGCTGGGACTTTCAAGCACAACATTCTTTTGGGTTTTGAAAGAATGGACAGAGAAAGACAAAATAGGCAATTGTGTAGAAGAAATGCCAAGGTATGCAAAATACTCTTGAACACAACACTTTGACCCACGAAACAGACAGGAATGAAAAAAAGAATAAGAAACCTAGGCTACAATTCAAAGAGGCTAGACAAAATGAAACACTAACAGACTGGGAAATTGTTCGTTGGGCTGATGAGTCTTGATTAGCTGCTGCATTCAGATGGGAGAGCCAGGATATGGAGTAAACAACATAAAAACATGATGGATCAGGCTGCTGCTGGTGGTGGTATAATGGTGTGGGGGGGGATTCTTCTTAGCACTTTTGGACATTACTACCAAGTAAACATAATTTCAATGCCTGCCTGAAAGTTGTGGCTCATCATATCAATGTCTTTATGAGCACAGGGCTACTGGATGGTTACTTTCAGCGGGTTATTGCATAAGTCAGATCACAAAGAACACAAAGCTCAAATCACTTCTAACTGGTTTTTTGAACATGAAAATGAGTTAACTCATATCTAAACGCCTCCAGAGTCATCAGATCTCAATTCAACAGAGAACATTTGGGATGTGGTGGAACATTATGGATGTGCAGCCAACAAATATGCAGCAACTGTGTGAAGACATTTTCTGAATAGAGACCAAAACCTCAGAGCAATGTTTCAAGCACCTGAATGATGCGGTTTTAAAAGTAAAGGTGTTAAACCGGTACTGCGAAGACGTACCTAATAAATTGGCAAATGAATGTAGTTAGAAGGAATCAAATCACGTCAAACTGCATTCTTGAACATAAAAATGAACAAACTCATTGCTTTGTACAGTTTTTTTGAGATGATTGGTGTTTTAAAGTGTTTCTAGAGACCTTGTGCTCAAAGCAAGGCCACTACACGACATAAAAACATACAGGAAACAGGATTTTATTTGGAGTCTGAGGTTGTTCCAGACTGTTAGAGCACAGCTTCTCTCCAATATCATCATGAACGCGTTCCATCCATTATAAATAATAAATTGCTTGTGGCAAATTTCACAAGCCATCTTGCAAAATATTCACAATATTTATGACCCCACAAATGTTTTTTTTCTTTCTTTTTTGTAGGCCATAAAAATAAATAATGATAATCAAAAAAAAAAAAAAAAAAACAGCTGATGCCTACACTCCTCCAGGCGACAGTCAATGTCAGAAGCAGCAGCGGCTGCAGCAGAGTGTGGACTGGCAAGCAATCAAGTGTTTAAGTCACTGCCCTGCTGTTACACATGCCAGGGAGGCCTTGTTAAGAGCTCAGACCTCCATCTGTCCACCTGGGAGGTATGAGTACTCACCCTTGAAAAAAACTCATCCCGGCCCTCCTGGCTGCTTTTCAGCATGAGTTATTACTCCACACACGCAGAGAATTCCTGAATGTAATCAACCGCTTCCTCTGTCGATTGTAGCGCAGAGCACCATTTCATCCCTGATATGTCACATCTTACAGCAGCTCTTGGCAGCTCATAGCTCAGATGTCACAGTCTATTTCCCAGGAATGATGCAAAACTAAAGAGAGGGTCAAGAGTTATACAAGCCATGCAAAAACAAAATAATGAAAAAAAAAAAAGATTGCAAATCTTCAAATTCGTCTGGAGGTTTAAAATCAAATTGAAATGCGTTCCAGTGTAAATCACATACTTAGAATTCCCGCTGGGCAGAAATTCAGCAGAAGAGGCCGACAGACGGAGAAGGCGGGTAGTGCTCTCTCAACCATTCTTTCCTAAATCACACAAGGTAAGCCCCGAGGCCCCCCATTGTTGCTCCACTCACGTATTATGTCCTTGCCCGCAGTGCTGAGGTCCGCAAAGCCAACAGAGGTTGAGCCAACAAGACACGAGCGCGGGCCAAAACCGCGAGACGAGAAAGCAGATATCTATCAGAGCGCTGTCCTCAAGTAAACTGCTTTAATGTCCGCCCTGATTGAGGAAGGGAGGAGAGCGTCGGTTTGACAGGGCTGTCCGTGGCAGCGGGGGGGGCAGGAGAGGGGGTGTAGATGCATGTGCGTGTGTATGGGGGGGAGGTGGATAGGAAACTGGACCGTCTGCGGGATTAACGAGCAAAAAGCCGGCAGTGAAGTTAACAGAAAACGGCGGCGGCACTCAAATGAGCTCCGAGAAAGCGGGGAGGGAGGATTAAAGAGGCAAAGTGGGAGGAGGAAGCGAGGGTGGGCACAGGCACAGCTATCTGATTAATGATCTTAGCCATGTTTTCATCTTACAGCATCCAGCAGAAAATCTGTCAAGCAGATAAGTTTTCCCCTCTCTGTTTTTGTGCCTCTACAATTGGAGTCACGCAACATGCAGAAACAACGAAATGAGGGATGAGCTGGCCAAAAAAAACAAAAAAAAAAAACACAACTTACCAGGGCAGTATGTGTCCAGGTCTGTATTCTTGGCAGTAGCAGAGGTGTGTGTAGGGGAGCCAAGCTCTGATTGTGGAATGCGAGGGCTCTCCACAAACTTTGCTTTCCGCAGTGGGGCTGGGAGCAGAAAGCACATGCAGACACACACAGAGAGAAGGAGACAACACACACAGGCACACGCATTCAATAGGGAGATGGTGGAGGACAGGAAAGAGAGAAGTGACAGGAACAGGACAGAAAGAGGGGGGGAGACAGAGCTTATGAACTTGGAGCAGCACACTGATAAAATGACAACATCCTGCAGGCTTTTCTATGAAGCTTTGTTTGACAAAGCCCAAGCATGAGTAAAAATGGAGCACGGGCAATCAGAAAACGGGCGCAAGAGGAACCAGCATCACCCTCACATAACATCAGCCCACTGATGAAATCTAAAAATATCTCCATACACCGTGTTCCCTGGCCAACATTTACCTCACAACACAGAGAAACAGTCCAGGAAAGATGCACTTAATGGATAAAGAGGAGAACGTGCGTTTTGTCCATTGGGAACATAATCACACCAAGAATGCCAGTGACATCCACCGGCGCAAAACTGAAGCGTCAGATGGGAAATTTACAGTAGAAAAAGATGTGGGTGGCAGTTGTGACATGATCACAAGAAAAATAGCTTTGCTGCAAAGACAGAGCGTTTAGTGGTTGTGTGTAAACATAGAAAACAATGGCAGCCATAATCTTCAGTCAGTTGCTTTCAGTGTGTGGAGCAACTTTTCAGAGGCGAAGTGAAAATCGTGGCCTGTTCTCTTGAACCAACTCAACAAGGGCAAGCTTTAGAGATGCATCACAATCTGATGGTTTTCTCTATCAGATTATCAGTGACCGGATCGTTGAAAACTCAAACACCCGATCTTTGATCAGCGAATTCATCATACCATGATGACAACTACACTTTTTGGTGTGAGTGAGAAGGATCCCAAAGTAAGCAGTTTATATTGTGGTGCACAAAATGAAGTCAGATGAAACACAAAATATGCTAGAAGCTAATTCAGAGGAAACTATTTTCGACAATATGTCTGCAGCTCATTCAGGATGGGAGTGAAAGACTTTCAGCCGAAAACGAGGGTTCAACAAGTTCAGCAAAGTTGCTGGGTTTAATCTTTTTAGCCTTTCAGCTTCTATCATGGCACATGTTGGATTTAGTAAATATGACAAATGATGACAATCTCATAAGGCTTTAAGAATATTTGTCATCTTAATCACTGCCTTAATCGCTAATACAATATTCTTAAGATCTGCAAACTCTGTAATTATTTTTTATTGTGAAACAGTAAAACCTGGTTTTGGAATCATTGCTATACACGCAACATGAGCTCAACCTTTTTCCTACTGTAAGTAATTACTGACTGCTCACAGCAGGAAGACCAGAAAAAAAAATATTTTGAATGAAATTGAAATTTCCAAAAAACAACACAAGGTCAAAACATACACCGGTAATTATCTAATAACATTTGAGCAGTCTGTTAAAACTTTTTCAATATGTTTGTCACAAGATCTCAAAGTATTAAAATGTCACAGTGCTTCTTATTTCAACAAAATGAATTCCTTCACCAGTATCCAATTGCTGCTAGTATGTGTTATTGGGGCTACGTTTGCCATGAAGAATACTTCACTAGTTTTAAATAATTTATGTTATGACATCTTGGGCTTAAAAAAGTCAGAAAATGACAATAGAAAAGCTCTGAAAAGAGACTCTACTTTAGTCTAAATGCAAAATGTGCTGTGTGGTGGAAAAACCATCAATGCACATCACACCTGACACAACATCCCCATAGATTATGGATGTATATTGATAATATGGCCCATTACACCATGAAAGCTAAATATTTATTATATTTGTGAAAATACACAAAAAAGACTATTTTAATGCAATGTAAGACAGTAGACATAACACTTAAGGTTCAGTTAATAACGTCCACTAATATGTCCTCCATTTGATAATCTTTGATATCAAAATGTAAAAAATTTAAACTGACCAAACTTTGACTTGATAATATAAAACAGTTTACAATTTATGACACTTTCATCCTATTTGTAAATAAGGTCGATTGTGATTCTTTTTCTGGAATTGGGGATAACCAAGATGGGAGGCTTTTATTTTTATTATTTCCAACCTTTTCCACTGTCTGTACCCATGGAGGTTTGAGATGAGTAACAACTGAGCATAATTTACTCTTAATCAACTAATCTGGTTAAACAAGGGTTTTAGAATAGATTATGTACTGTACCCTGCAACTGTTAACCAATATGGGTGAGTGCACAAGTCCAAAGCAATCCGGCAGAGAAGCGCAGAGCTGAACCAGTCAGCAGTGAGCAAAGAGCCATGAGCAGCAATTTAAACATATGTTCAGTGAACAATCAATGCACGACTTGAATCAGTTTCTCTGCACTCACAATTGGGTTTCATGTTATGTTTAATGTCAGGATAATGTATCAGCCTGTAGTGAATGGGTAAAGAGCCAGGCGTTCTTTATAAATATAAGCTGAATCAGAAGAGACTGATGCACAGAGTACATGCTCTACAAGAAATAAATATTATTACTGCATATCACTATTATTATCATCATCTCTTCTACTAAAGCAATCCTGCAGACTTCCACTGTCTCACTATAAGACATAACAAATTCGACTTTCCAGATATGTCAGATTTATACTGGGTGACATTACTAAGCTTCATTTTATCCTAACAAAAGAGCTTATATGAATAATTGTGGCTATTTAAAATATTTGTAGCGAAATAAACATAAATCAAGTTATTGGCCAATAGAAAGCTTAGACCAAGATTACAATCATTTAAGACATTTGAAGATTAAAACCAACTTCAATGGAAGAAACATCCCACAGTTAAAACTTTAAGTCCAAATTAAGAAGTTGAAAATAACTCCTTCTTATAAAACTTAAATGCTTAGAAATCTTGACGATTCTGTAAATTCCCAGCCTTACAAATAAACTTGGGTTCTTCCTGGCCGAGTGAACCATTCTCTGCTATTCTTGAAGTGTTAATACTGTTCAGCTATGGACTAGAGAGAAGTCTGTTAATTGACTACATCCAGGAAGTGAGCCAGCACAGATGCTACAGAGAAAGTACAGCTGACAGCCAGAGGAGGAAGAAGAGGGAACCCAGGTTTTTCATGGCCAGATCGACTGTCATCATAGTGACTGTCACTTGAAAAATGCTCGACGTTTCTCCCTGTCCAACCGATTTAAATGCTGATTTCTTTGGCTAGTATCAGAAATAGAGGTTTCAGTTTTAACACGTGTATAAGCTTTCTATGAAGGTAATTAAATGATGGTTTTGTTCTTTGTTCAACATGTGTCTTGCCACTTGTCTTTAAAGTTTGAAGTTGTTGAAGGGCTTTATTTTCTATTGATTCAAAAGCATTCTTCTTGCTTTCAAATTCCAGTTTCTGGTCACAAAATGACTGTGTCCATTTGTCCATTTATTTGCAGCAAAGTTTCTGTCTTCAGTTTGTGCTTCTGGCAATTAAACAGTTGGACATAAACTGCAACGTTAGACAGAGAGCGCCAACAAAGTAGCACAAACCGAAGCCAAAAGCTTGCACAGAATACATAAAAAGCATTCAGTGCTTATGCTGCATATTAAGAACTCTAACTTATCCATATTTTGGCTTAAAACCACATTAAAACTTCAGACCTTAACTTTATAAATGTACAATTGTACAAATAAAAATATGAAGCATGTGGTGTGCCTTTACTCTCCCTGATGCATTGCTCACACGACCAGAGTTTACTGCAATTGGAGGTATGCTTTTACCAGCTTTACTGATCTACTGAATAAAATTAGTGCCAATTCTTCTCCTCAAAAATAGCCAAAATTAGTCAGATTGTATAAGGAGCATCTGTGAACAGCAATTTTCAAGTCTTGCCACACATTCAAGGTTTGGATCAAAATCCGTATTTTGACTGAGCAATTCTAACCCACGGATATACTTTGTTTTAAACCATTAAATTGTAGCTATATTTTAAGGAACATTAGTCTGGTGTAAGCTGAATTTCGAACCCGGTTTTAAGTCTTTTACAACTTCTGATAGGTTTTTCTCCAGTATTGACCTGAAATTAGGCCCATCTATTTTCACATAAACTCTGACCAGCTTCATTGTCCATCTAAAAATATCAAAACCCACAGAATGATGCTACCAATACCATGTTTCCAATGTGAATGAAGTACAGTTCAACAATGCCTTTCTTCTTTTGATTCTTCTATAAAAACGTCAGGTTTTTGCAGTACAGTTGTATCATACTTTTTTCATTTACACATTTTGGACTGCATAAATAACTTAGGATATTGTTTTTGATCTCAACTCTACTTTAAACCTCTCCAAAACTTTCTCTTTGACCTGCCTTCTATGTTCCTTCATCTCCATGATGCTGCTTGCTCTCTAACAAACTGTGTTTATACTGGGATTTAATGAAAAACTGATGGGATCTGTTCACTTGGGTGAGTCAGCTGTCAGATAATGCTGGCTTGCATACAAGAATATGTCTTAGACAATGATTTACTTTTTGAAAACCATGAATAAATTTCTACTGCTTTCCAGTCAGAATATGTGAATGCCAAGGCACCGTATTTGCCCTGCGTTATTATTAAACAAAGCAATACTGGTGTGAAGTCTGCAGGGATAACATTTATTTTATTTTATTTTCTTAAATTTCACAATATTTTTTAATCTTCTAATATTGTTCTAAACTTCTAAACAATTAATAACTATTGCTTTCATGTGACATAAAAGAAAACCCCAAAAGATAATTGTAAAACATTTCAAATGCTTCACTTTCAGTTGCAACAGCCAATCTGACACTTTGAAAGACACTTTTGTCACTCAGGAATATGCATTTTTGTGAGCAGCAGATTACCATGTCCTTTGTTTTCCGTGTCTCTGATCTCACCTCTACAAAGAAGAAACTCAGGCTCTACTCTATTGGAGTAAATCCTCCCTATATCACTGGCTCCAGGGGAGTAAATCCCATGGACTTCTCTCCGGCAGCTCCGTTGTCAGCTCGTGCCAGGTTGAGGAAGGGTGACAGTGTGATGGATGGCAGCA